AAGAATTACTATTGATTCTTCTTTAAATGTTGGGTAGAATTCACCGTGAAGCCATCTGGGCCAAAGCTTTACTTTGTGGGAAGTTCTTATATTACTAATTTAATCTCTTTACTTGTTATAGGTCTATTCAGGTTTCTCTGTTTCTTCTTGAGACAGTTTAAGTGGTTTGTGTCTTTCTAGGAATTTGTTCATTTCATTTAGGTTATCTAATTTGTTGACATACAATTATTCCTAATATTCCCTTATAATTCTTTTTATTTCTGTAAAGCTGATAGTAATGTCTCATCTTTCATTCCTGTCTTTAGCAATTTGAGTCTTGTCTCTCTCTCTCTTTTTTTTTTCGTCAGTCTAGCTGATCAATTTTTGGTTTCATTGATTTTCTCTATTCTTTTTCTATTGTCTATTTCAATTCTAATTTTTATTATTTTTTCCTTCTGCCTGCTTTAAGTTTATTCTTCTTTTTCTAGTTTCTTAAAGTGGAAAGTTCGTATGGATTTGAGATCTTTCTTCTTTTTTTATAGGGGCATTTATAGCTGTAAATTTCCCGCTAAACACAGCTTTAGCTACATCCTATAACTTTTGGTATTTTCATTCATCTCAAAGTATTTTCTAATTTCCTTGTGATTTTTTCTTTGACTCATTAGTTCTTTAGGATTATGTTGTTAATTTCCTAAATTTCCTTCTATTATTGATTTCTGATTTCCTTCCAGTATGGTCAGAGGATATTCTTAATATTTCATTCCTTTTCAAATTTATTGAGACTTGTTTTAAAGATTTTATTTTTTCCTTTTTCTCCCCAAAGCCCCCCGGTACATAGTTGTATATTCTTCGTTGTGGGTCCTTCTAGGTGTGGCATGTGGGACGCTGCCTCAGCGTGGTTTGATGAGCAGTGCCATGTCTGCGCCCAGGATTCGAACCAATGAAACACTGGGCTGCCTGCAGCAGAGGGCGTGAACTTAACCACTCGGCCATGGGGCCAGCCCCTGAGACTTGTTTTATATTCTAACATATGGTCTGTCCTAGAGAATGTTCCATGTACACGTGAGAAAAATATGTATTCATTCTGCTCCTAAATGGAGTGTTCTGTAGATATCTGTTAGGTCTGGTGGTTTATAGTGATATTCAGTTCTTTATTTCCTTGTGATCTTCTGCCTGGTTATTCTATCCATTATTGTAGGATTGTATTGAATGTAGGGTATTAAAGTTACCAACTATTATTATTGCACTGTCTACTTCTCCCTTCAATTCTGTTTGATTTGCTTTATGTATTTTAATTGTTACGTCTTCCTGATGTTAGACCTTTATTAGAAATGTCAAAAACCAAACTCTGCATGTTGAATAAAACAAAGCAGAAAGATGAGTTTATTGCAAGGCTTTCACCCTGCAAACCAGGAAACTCAAGGCTATGGGAGCAATGAGTTCCGAGTTGGTCACAGATTAAGGGATTATTATGGGGTAAATGCAGAGGTTATTTGGCTTTTTCAGCAGATTAGTTGCCTAGGGGTTTTCTTTCTTATTTGGATCAGGGTTGCAGAGTCATGGGGACAAGGAAGTCCACAGATAGCGTGAACAGACTTGGCGTTTGGGGATTGGCTGGTGTCCTCTGCAGATTTCTGAGAAGAGCTGTAAATTCCTGTAAGGTTAGGTTAAGTTTCCTTTATGTACCTGCATTGGCCGTTTCCATTTTGTCCCTGACATAAGAGACTCCATTTTAGTTTAGTTCTACAAACAACTTTCAACTGATTCTCATTTGTTAGCCCCATCCTTACTCTCTGCTTGTAGAGAGAACTGGTGCTGACCGACAATTCTTGAGCCTTTCAGGCTCCTTGGTACATGTTCACTGACTTCTTTCACTCTCCCCACTGCCAGCCTAGCAACCTTGTTGAGTCTGCTAAATGAGCGATTACAGTCTTGCTTCTGCATTCCCACTTTCAAAATGTTATTGCTGTTGTTACTTTTCCTGTTGTCTTTGTCCTTATGAGTTTATGACTTAATAAAGAAATATTTTTGCTGTTATTTTTATGATTTTTCTGGAAGGAATAAAGCTATGTTTTGATTCAGCTCTTTCAATTGGACGTCTCAAAGACCATGATCTTTCCACTACATAATGCTGGGTAGAGTGGATGCTTTCCTGAAGATACAGCATGCTTGGTTTGACCTTAAAAACCAGTTCACAAAATTCCATGCTTAGTGCTCTGGGAGAGACAAAGGTAGTAACATATGGCCCTTGTTCTCCAAGAGCTCGCTCTGTGGGGAGATGAGATATACAGAAATACTATTATGGCACAGGTAAACAGGGATAAGTAATAAGAGCTACCTTTCATTGAACACCTACAAATTTCAGACAGACATTTTATATGCTTTAATTCAATCTGATATGGTACCTCATAATGGGAATTGTATGATTCCCACTTTACAGGTGAAGAATGAATTGGTTTACACAAGGTCCGCAGCTAGTGACATATGGAGGGAGGAGATTTGAAGCCAGATGTGCCGGCCTCTGAAGCTTTCCTCTTTCTGCCTTAGGAGAGGCACCGTGAGGGGCCTGGAGGAATTCAAAGGCAGGAGAGGTTGTCTTCCAAGGTTCCCTTCAGGAAAGGCTTAAAGGTAGAGGAGGAATCCCAGCGGGGCCCTGAAGGTTAGATCAGCTTCCACATTGTAGATTTGGGGAGGAAGGGGGTCACTCCAGGAAGGGGGAATAGTTTGCTCAAAAGCAAAGAGGAAGGAGTTATAAGGCATATTCATGGGTCTTAAGTGACCTGCGGGGGTCTTGGTGTAGGATGCCTGCAGGAGGGTGATTAGCCAAAGCAGTTACTTCTGCAGCCTTTTCCCAGGGCCTGACGTGGAGGAATGAGGCTTTGAGGTGTTTGCGTTTGAATATGTTAGAAACACTATTTCAAATAGGGGGAAGGTAAGACCAGAATTTTAATGGTTTCTGTAAAGCAAGGACATCCTCAATATACGCACAGTGTGTGTTTAATGAAAAATGTGTGAGGTCACAGACAATGGGTTGTCACAAGGCTGAGGAGTTCATTTAAAATTTAAGCAAGCAAATGCTTGTGTTGCTTTTATTGCCTTGAAATGGACACAAATAAGGTTTTTAAACATGAATCATCTCATCTTCACTGATTAGAGGGAAAAAACACAGTGATATCCTCTTTTTTAATCTATGAAATTATCAAAAATCAAAACAAGTGGCCATTTGTACTAGTAAGGGTGTGGAGAAGCAGGTGGTATAAATGAACGAGACGGCCTCATATGTCCTGATAAGCAGTGATCTCTACCTCTACCATGTCGAGCAGACTGCAATTTGTGTTTGGAAAAAAAGGTGGACGGGGGGTGCAATTTATACATAACAGCTTTGCCCAAGATGTTCCATTGGCACTTAAGCCACTTTTACCCCCTTTTATACCAATATCATTTCTTCCCTTTTTTATCTCAAACTTTGCTGCTCAAGTTCCTCTCCAGACCTTCAAGGGGGAGCTGGCTAGATCATTTCATTTCTAATTACTGTGTGCTTCGTTTATCGTTTACTTTTCTTATTGCAGTATCTTTAGCATTTGCCGCGTTTCCTCAGAGTGATTGCAATGCCCTTTAGTTTCCTAGACTCTGATCCATTTGGTTAGTTTCCAACTGTGCTCTTGGCTCGCTTCACCCACGTGGTAGTGAGAATGCAAACAAATGTTTTCCTTGTCTCTGTCTCTCTACAAGGCTTGCGGTGATCTTCACACACTTCCCTGGATTAACTGACTCTCTCACTGTTCCTGATACGTTTCTTTCTTCCAAGGCAAACATTTTCCCTTCAGCTTAAAAGTGCTTACTAGGGTGGCGGGAGAGAGTGTGCGCATATGTACGTATATGCTTATGTACAGGAGAACCTGGCACCTGGTTCTGAGAAGGCCAGCAAGAGAGGGACCATGGGACTGTGGATGCTGGGGAGGGAGACTCATTTTCCACTGTATAGACCATTTTGTTTCTCTTATCCTTTATACCTTTAATAGTATTGGTAATAAGATTAAATAAGTGATAAATTGACTTAATAAGATATCATAAATGGAGTATTAATTCCAGAATGTATATTATTAAATGATAGTATATAAATATGTAATACACTGATTACATTGGTGAAGATACAGATAAGTTAATTATACAGATTTGTGGCTGTTAAGAGAAATGTTACTTTCCATTTATTTTATACTTTACAGCTCATATAACTTTTCTTATCTAATCTTTAAAATAGCTCTGTCAGGGAGCTATTCTCTTCATTTTACAGACACTATTCTATTTTTATGAGAAATGGCAGAACATGAAAAAAACACAAATAAGGAACTAGGGTTCCAAATGGTTAGGTGACCTAAGTCCCACAGCTAGTGCCTGAATCTAAGGCTAGTGCAGTTTCCACTGTGCCAAAGGTAAGCATATTCAGAGTGTACCCTGAGTTTTTGTGCTTGACCTGGAGTTGATTACTAGCTTTTTCCATCATGATTCATTTTTTTATGGCCCCCCCTTTTGTTTTGGTGAAGAAGATTGGCCCTGAGCTAACATCTGTTACCAATCTTCCTCCTTTTTTTTTTCTCCCCAAAGCCTCAGCACATAGTTGTATATCCTAGTTGTAGGTCATTTTAGTTCTTCTATGTGGGATGCCACCACAGCATAGCTTGATGAAAGGTGTGTAGGTCTGTGCTCAGGATCCGAACTGGCAAACCCTGGGCTGCCGAAGCGGAGCACGTGAACTTAACCACTCAGCCAGAGGGCTAGCCCCCATCATAGATTCTTTGATGCCCTCATCCAACACAGAATATGGCACTGAACCAGTCTGATGCAAATTAAAAAGATTTCGTCCCATCAGTCTACCCGTCCATCAGTAGGCCCCAGGCTGTCCCCTCATGTCCCATCATGGGCAGGGAGCTTTGGCTTTGGGCGTTGAGAATGCAAACCAATCAAAGTAGACTTGTCCTACAGCTCAGAAGTTTACCAGTGTCTTCTTTCAATTGTTCTAGGAAGAGCTGCAGGCCAACCTGGACCTGATTCAAACCTACAGGCTGCATATTGCACAAGATATCAACCAAGAAAACCTACAGCTCTTCCTGGGTTCCTATAATGGGTACAGTTGTTTCCTATTCATTCACTTAAATGCAGGCCAAGTCTAAAAAGATTATGGACATTTAAGGGAGATGGGAAGGGGAAATAAACTACTTCTTCCAGTGTTGTGTGATGTGATTGCTTTCATGCTATTTCACCACAGTAGAAGAGGAAAGGCTTTCACACAGATATTAAACAGCTTTCAAGAAGAATGAATGAATTGAAGGCCAATTTGGGTACCTAAAATATGTACACACACAAAACACACAAGTAATTTGAGGTGGCACAGAAAAATGCATGGAGGGGAGGCAAAGGGTAGAAGGCTCGGGCCTCGATTCACTTTCTCCTCGCTGATATCTTGTCATCAGGCAGGAGTAACACATGGACACTAGTAAATTCTCTTTCGTTTGTGTATTCCTAAACCCACTGTCACATCTCCCCCAGTCTCTGAGAGACCCTGATTCTTATCTTAGGATGAGAGGTAAAAATGTTAGCTCCTTCTAGCTTTCTGGGTCATGGGAAAAGATTGAGGAAATGAGTCAGCTGTAACTTAAGGCAGAGTTACACAGCCAGTAAGGAGCAAAGCCAGGTTTTGAACCTGGTCTCTCGAGTTCCTTCCTCTAAATAACAGAGCCTCCTTATTTTTGTTGAAATCAGAAAGGTTTATTACATACTGCACTAAACTATGTTAGTTACAAGGAAAAAGTTCCCCTTCTCTTAACGAGTTTATTCCTATAAATGAGTTGGCAAATTAAACACTTAGGACTTGAGGATTTCGATAGCGTGGCTGTTGAGTTTTGCAGTTTCTTCCTTTTGGCATTCACAGAGTCCCTCAGAGTTGAGCCTGGAGCCTTGTTCCTGCTCGGTACCACGCAGGAGGCCACTGAAATGGCTACTTGGGAACAAAGCGCACAAGGGCCCCTTCCCTCATAAGAGAGTTTTCACATTCCTTGATACGTTGTGGTTTTCACGACCTGGAAATAACCTGTGTTGCCATGATTTTACCTGAAAAGAGCATTGCTTCCTTTGTGTTTCTAGACGCAGAGACCTGGACATTGAAAGACCCTTGCTGGGCCAAAATGATAACAAATCAAAGACATTAAAGTAAGTCCCTCAGTTTCCCCACTAAGTTGCTAAATATCTTTGCCTTTCATGGATGAACACAGTGTTCAGTGGCGTGTGTGCTGTTTGCGAATGTCATCTCTCACTTTGCCTTCCCCAGGTGTTCTGCTCTCTTGGTGGTAGGGGACAGTTCACCGGCAGTGGAAGCTGTGGTGAGTATGCCCTGATGTCACGAAGATGAACGAGATTACAGTCACTAAAATGTGTATGGCACACTGCTGACACGCTTAGAAAACACTTGGTAAACACTGATTATGCGTATCAAAATAATAAAAGGGTTTGCTCTTGGTTATCCAGTTTAGAAAATGAATTCCTCATTAATTGCTAGATTTCATCAGAAAGGATCAGTATTTCTTTGTGTGGTGTAGTTCACTTTGTGGCAAGTAATGCAGCCAGACACCATTGGCTTATTGTCAGGTTCCTGGTAGCCTCAGCCTTCTGCAGCCACCATAAATCTGGAACCATACATATCAGCAGGCGGAAAGGCCGCTGAGAGCCTGCCCTCCTTTCTCTACCTCCTTCTCAAGCACGTAGCACGTTGATAACAAGAATATATGCTGGGGGCCAGCCAGGTGGCACAGCGGTTAAGTTCACACGTTTTGCTTCTCAGCGGCCCGGGGTTCGCTGGTTTGGATCCCGGGTGTGAATATGGCACCACTTGGCAAACACCATGCTGTGGTAGGCGTCCCACATATAAAGTAGAGGAAGATGGGCATGGATGTTAGCTTAGGGCTAGTCTTCCTCAGCGAAAAGAGGAAGATTGGCAGTAGTGAGCTCGGGGCTAATCTTCCTCAAAAAAAAAAAAAAGGGAATATATGCTCATTGTAGGAAGACTGAAAAAATTGGAAAATAGGACAGGAGGAAAAATCATGATCCAGAGACCCAAACTGTTATCTTTTTTTTTTTTTTTAAACAGATTGGATTGTATTAAATATACAGGGTTTGGGGACCTGATTACTCAACACTATTGATAGCATTTTCCCATATTTTAAATCAATATGTCTGTATAGTATTAGTGTCATAAGTGTACCTTTGTTTATTTTTACCTCATTCTCCTGATTAATTTTGCCCCGTTAATAATGTTGCTGTTGAACAAACATCCTTATAAAATCTTCGCCTGAATTTTTGGTCATTTCCCTGGGATAGATTTCCAGAAGTAGAATTAATGTGTCAAAAATCATAAACCTTTGTAAGATTTTTGATACATTCTGCCAGATTCCTTTCCAGAAAGGACATACGAGTGTGTCACCACCAGCGGTGAGTGAGAGAGAATACCTGTTTGACGGCACCCTGTCCAGCATTGGATTTTAGATTCTATTAGCAGTTAATTTGCTGGGTTAAAAAATGGTGTTCCACTGTTTTAATTTGCACTTCTTTGATTACAAATGAAGTTGACATTTTTTGTATGTCTTTTAGCCTTTGTCTGTCTTTCCCAGAGCGTGTGTAACTTAACTAAGTATCTGTGAAATTATCTGGTTTTCTTTGGCAGCCTTAACTTCTGACCTATTTAGAGCAAAATGTTAGAGAGTAAGGCTTTTTGGAAAAGGAGTCTACAGTTCTGATGTGGGAGTTTTTTCCCCACCATTAAGCAGTTAATTCAATTCAGTTCACTTCTGGCGCTAATTTACCTTGAGGTACCTTCAGGTCCCACAGGTTAAGGGCTTATCCCACAAGACTGCCCCGCCTTTCAGAACCTTAGTACAGATTGGAGTATCTGACAGCCCCCTCCTTGGATTCAGTTAATTTGCTAGGGGAGCTCCAAGAACTCAGGGAAACATTTTACTTACTAGATTACTGGTTTATTATAAAAGAATGTAACTCAGGAACAGCCAGATGAAAGAGATGCGTAAGGCAAGGCCTGAGGAAGGAGTGCAGGGCTCCCATGCCCTCTCCAGGTGCGCCACTCTCCCGCAATCCCCGTGTGTTCACCATCCCGGAAGCTCTCTGAACTGTGTTCTTTTGTGAGCCAGCCAGGCTCAGTGCCACCTTGCTGGAGTTACCTTTTCAGTTTTTATGAGGCTTTATTCCGTAGGCATGATTGATTAATGATTGACCATTGGTGACTGAACTCAGTCTCCAGCCTCTGCCCCCTCCCCCGAGGTCAGGGGGTGGGACTGAAAGGTCCAACCCTCTACTCACTTGGTTAGTTCTGACATCCAGCTCCCATCCTTAGATGACCAAGGGACTTTCCAAAAGTCATCCCATTAGCATAACAAAAAGACACCTTTATGACTGCTTGCTTTGGAAATTCCAAGGATTTTAGGAGCTCTGTGCCAGGAACGGTGATGAAGACCAAATATATATTTTTCTTTTTTTTTTTTTTTAAAGATTGGCCCTGAGCTAACATCTGTTGCCAATCTTCCTCTTTTTTCCCTTCTTCCCAAAGCCCCCCAGTACATAGTTGTATATATTCTAGTTGTAATATATAGGTCCTTCTAATTCTGCTATGTGGGATGCCGCCTCAGCATGGCTTGATGAGTGGTGCTAGGTCCGCACCCAGGATCTGAACCAGTGAAACCCTGGGCCACCAAAGCAGATCACTCGAACTTAACCATCGTGCCACAGGGCTGGCCCTATATTTCTTATTATAAATCACTATCACAAAGTCTAATACATAATCAGGTCGAGGCATAGGTGAGAAGGTTTGTGGGGCAGGAGGACTGTTTGTAGGGTGAGATAGGTGTCATACATAGAGTATATCTATATTCTGTCTATATGTCACAGATGGAATATATTCACACCTCCCTGAAGTGCCCTGTAAAACATGCTGTGTCTGGTGTAAAATACATGGCATGGCTTAAGCACAAAGGCAAATAACTTTCAAGTCCAAAAAAAAATCTCCAAAGGTAATCAAATTATAGTGATGATCCCAGTTCATCAAGGAGTTTTGTAAAGGTCAGTCTTTTCTGGCTAATAAGGTAGAGATACATGCTACACAAATATTTGTCAAAAACATTTTTTTTTTCATAAACTTGTGTACTTGAAACAGGAAAATAGTGTTGTTTTTAGAAAGTGCCCTTAATCAGAATTCTGTAGTAATGCTGAGTTGTCTTTTTTTAAATTGCATCGACTTAAAGCAAGATTTCCAGTTATTTTTCACAACTGAATAAGTTAGCCAGTACAGAAAAGGCCTCTTTCTGTTTCTGTTTTCCACATCTTCAGCGTTTATAGAGAAGAACTTCAGGAGGCATGTCTGTACCACGAAGTAGATGCTCTTCTAGACACGTTCCAACCCAGCTCCCCTGCCAGAGTATTGTATCCTCAAGTTGGTAGGGATTGGGGGCTGTCGTGCATGGAAGAGCAGGAAGAAGCCCCACGAGTTCTGGTCACTGTGGCTAGCTGTTCTTGCTCACTTATCTGTTAAGCATCATTTTTTGAGCATCTCCTGTCTGCTCGATGCTATGGAGAATACAAAAATGAATGAGATGGCGTCTCTGCATTTGTGGAGCTGAGAGAGTAGACATGTCAAAAACCAACCATTGTGAGGCAGGCCCCATGGCTTAGTGGCTAAGTTCGTGCGGTCCACTTCGGCAGTCGGGGTTTCATGGGTTCAGATCCCAGGCGTGGGCCTACATACACTGCTCATCAAGCCACGCTGTGGCAGTGTCCCACATAAAAAATAGAGGAAGACTGGCAGAGATGTTAGCTCAGGGCCAGTCTTCCTCACCAAAACAAACAAACAAACAAAAACCCAACCATTGTGCTTGGCCTACCAGATATTGAAACTTCTTATAAAGTTATAGAAATTGCAAAGTAGTGAACCAAGGAAAGCATGATTTATTATAAACCCAGACTTGGGAGTTATTCTTCCAGAAAATATTTATTGCGTATTTACTGTCTTCTGAGCACTGTGCCTGGCAGTTAGGAATGCAGTTTTTAAATTCTCCCCTTTAGACTTATTGCATATTAATGTAAAACGGATACGTTTGTTTATCACTGCCTGCATTGTTATTTGTATAAAGCAAAAGCTGTGGTTTGGTGATCCTGGCTTTTAGATCATCCCCTGATTGTAGAAGAGTTTCATGTAACCGCCATCAGCAGTCCCCAGAGCAAAGTTCATCTGGATTACTGGTTCTCGACTTGGTAATTTTAATAACTTCCCCAGCTGGCTTGCTGCCTCTGCAATCTGTCGTACAGGCCACTGCTGGTTAGTCTCCTGAAACAACTCAAATCCTGTCACCTCGGAACCCTTCTTCCCTTTCTGTACCTCTAGAAATCCTACTCATCCTTCTGTACTCGGCTCAAGTGTGAAATTTTGAGGTGATCTCATTCTGCCTTATACCATATGTTTTACCCCTCTAGTTTCCACACTCTTAGCACAGAATTTTGTAGGTGTGTGCTTTGCAAGCGTGTGTAAAGGGAGAGATCCAGGTGATCAATTTAGTCATGAAACATCGCTGAACCTAGAGACTACCTCCCCCAAACATTTTCTTGAAGGTCCCTGCCTTCGTGGATACGAGAGTACAAGAGACCAAACATGTAAATCCACAAGGATGTAAATTCTGAATTCTGATGACTGCTATGTGAGAAGAACCACAGAAGAACTAACTGTAGACGTGGTAGTCAACGACCTTGAGGCAGGAAAGAGTCACGCAAACCCACTACACTCGGGGCACGGGAAAGGGGGGCGAAATGGGCCGGGTTAGTACGCAGGGTCAGGCATTTGGGCCATTTGTGCTAGGAAGCCCTCAGGACCCCAGCAGGAGAGGGCCTGGTCCAGTTCACTTATTAAAGAAGGAGATAACTTGCCCCCATCAGTTGGGAGAATTAGATTCAACACGTAAGTTTTTTAAAGACTCTACTTGTAACAGATTCAGAAAATGAAATTAGCCAGATTTTTAGATCTACTCAGAAACATCAGATATAAAGTGCATCGTATAAATATATTTCCTGCTTTGTATTTTTCTACTTTTTTTGGCTGATTCAGTCACCTCCAAACTGAGTTGTTGATCTGGGAAGATCATTCTCATGCCAAGCTATTTTTTATTTTTCTAGCAGTTCATAAAATTTTTTTCTCCTTTTTTCTTTTTTTGAAGGTTGAATGCAATTCTCGCCTGAATCCTATAAATACAACTTTGCTCAAGGTAACGTGTCTTCTTTCCTTATTACCATTTGTGAGTAAGTTGTACATGGTTCAAGTTACTCTGTTTCTGGAATAGTTACCCAGAAAGAAGGAAAGGTTCTCTCTCCCTCTCTCTCTCTCTCTCTCTCTGATTCTCTCATTCTTTTTTAAAAATATTTTTTCCTGGGGCTGGCCCCGTGGCCGAGTGGTTAAGTTCGCGCGCTCTGCTGCAGGCAGCCCAGTGTTTCGTTGGTTCAAATCCTGGGCGCGGACATGGCACTGCTCATCAAACCACGCTGAGGTGGCGACCCACATGCCACAGCTAGAAGGACCCAGAACAAAGAATATACAACTATGTACCAGGGGCTTTGGGGAGAAAAAGGAAAAAATAAAAAATCTTTAAAAAAAAAATATTTTTTCCCAAATATGTTCTCAGTTTATAAAATTGGAAAATAAAGAATATAAATATAGAAAGAATAAAATAAATAAAAATTACTCATAATCCTACAACCCAAAGATAACCTTTGGTAAAAATATTGGTGTTTTTTTCCTATATATTTTTATGTTGTTAAGATCATAGGCTATTTATAGCCCTGTATCTGTTTTCCTCAACTTTTTGACATAAGCATCTTCCCATGTCATTAAAAACTTAAGCTTTTTTTTTTTTTTGTGAGGAAGATTAACCCTGAGCTAACATCTGCTGCCAATCCTCCTCTTTTTGCTGAGGAAGACTGGCCCTGAGCTAAAATCCGTGCCCATCTTCCTCCACTTTATACGTGGGACGCCTGCCACAGCATGGTGTGCCAAGCGGTGCCATGTCCACACCTGGGATCCCAACCGGCGAACCCCGGGCTGCCAAAGCAGAATGTGCAAACTTAACCTCTGCGCCACCGGGCCGGCCCTTAAGCATTATTTAATGTTGTGAGAATTAAGATAATGAGTGGAAATTCTTTACATGCTAAATCACATATTGGTAAGGAAGCTTCCAGTAACTCTCTAATGATGAGAAGGGTGCATTTTCTTTCTTTTAGGGCAAATAGAGAGCAGCTCTTATACTAAAGTTCTAGGGTTAGCATCAGGTATCTCCCCCTTTTAATTGCACCCTAGGCAAGTGTCTCAAGCTTGCTTTTTCTGGAGCCTCTAGTAGAACGTTCAGGGACCTGCCCTCCTGGTTGGATCGATATACTATAGGTTTAAGTGTTGATCTTATGTTGCTTGCTGCTTCTTTCTTACCTTTCTCTTTGAAATGTGCTTGAAAGGAAAGTGCTGTCGCCAGAAGCGGCCCATACTTCCTGGAAATAGAACATGAGGTTAATGCTCTGACGTGACAAAACTCAGTGTTCTGGGGTCCAGGAGATTGATGAACTAGTCTAAAATATGAATGTTTTTTTAAAAGTATGTGGTTTCAAATTAGTTTTTCACTGCAGATTTGAATCAATATTCCAAAAGCACAAAACTGAACTCTACAGTAGCTGTAGACATGGTTATTTCTGGGCAGAAATGCCCATCCACAATAGCATGATGGAACTGATTCTCCACCTATGTGATAGGTATCAAGCTTGGAAATAGTCTCTCCTAATAGTCTCTCTCTGCGTAAGAGAACTGTTTTAGGATTCTAATCAGATTTTGGTTCCCCAAACTTGATGAAAATACAGGCTGTGCCAGTTAGGTCTATTTTATACTTAAATCAGGTTAAATGTTTTTCCTGATCTTATGCTTAGTATTTTCAGGGGACTGTTCCTCCTTTTTTTTTTTTTTAAGATTTTATTTTTCCTTTTTTCTCCCAAAGTCCCCCGGTACAAAGTTGTGTATTTTTAGTTGTGTGTCCTTCTAGTTGTGGCATGTGGGATGCCGCCTCAGCATGGCTTGATGAGTGGTGCCGTGTCCGCGCCCAGGATTTGAACCGGTGAAACCCTGGGCCGTTGAAGCAGAGCGCTCGAACTTAACCACTCAGCCACGCAGCTGGCCCTGGACTGTTCCTTCTTAACCTCAAATTCCTGTGCCTTCTGTGGCATTGTTATCTTCTAAATCACAGTCCTCCCTCAATGAAAGTTTTGTTGTTTTGTTTTTTTTTTTTACAGTCCAGAGGTCTTTTATTTTTTTTCACCTATCATGCCATGAATTCGTAGGGAGTGGGTTCCAGCAGCTGAGGCTCCTTTCCATTGGTTCTCACAAAGTGTGCTTCTCTGGGCGGAGCAGGCTGGCACTTCAATTGAACCCAAGTACCTTTCTCTTTGGCTTCCTTCTTTTTCTCATCATTTTCCCTCACACGGTTCAGGAAGCTATCTCGGCTCTTAGAGTGCTTAATATGCTCAACACATACATTAGTTCTTTTGGCAAGAATCTTCCCCTTAACTTGTTTGTTTACAACAATGCCAACAGCATGCTGGGTAACATCGTAGACTCTTTCAGCTTTGCCATGGTAACATTTGTGGGGCATTCCTTTTTGAACAGTGCCCATTCCTTTGATGTCTACAATATCACCTTTCTTGTAGATTCACATGTATGTGGCCAAAGGAACAACTACATGTTTTCTAAATGGCCTAGAGAACATATAGCAGGTGCCTCTCCTCTTTCTTTTTGTGTTGGTCATTCTGGCGAATTACTGGAAGATGGCGGCGCCAGCCAGAAGGCTCCATGAAAGTTTTTATGCTCGTGAATGGAAGCCATGAGGTTCACTTCTCTTTTTAAAAAAATGGTAGTCAGTCTGAATAGAATACTAGCTGAGTATGGAATGCATAACAGCTAGAAGGAAGGGAGTGGGCTCATGGTTGGCCGTACCGCCCTAGAAGTCTGTTCTCTGCAGACTGGCAGAATTTTCAGCACCTGGGAGCTTGTTAGAAACATGAATTCTTGAGCCCCACCCCAGGCCAATTAAATCAGAATCTCTAGGGTAGGAACTCTAGAATCTGAGTTTTAGCAAGTGCTCGCAGGTAATTCCAATGCATGGTAACAAAACCCTACTCTAGAAATCCATGCACAGGTGAGAATAAACAACTGTAAGGTTTTATGAAGTGAGAGACAGCCTCACCAAATCCAGGTATGAAATGAAAGTGGCTGACCAAGCAAGTTGGCCAAATTTCGCATCAGTGCCTGATCAGAGAAATCCCTGATCATAGAGTGAAGAAAATACAGATCTGAGAGGGAATTTAGAAAGCGTGGTACCCTGACAAGTTAGGGTCATACTGAGGACTCTGAAAGTAACGTTCTTCAGGTGGAGGCAGAATCATGGTCGAAGGTAGTGTTGACATGTCTGACGCCTAACGGAAAATTCCCACCATGGGCCGGAAAGCCAGGCCTGTCTTGCATCACTGATGAGTGAGTACTGAATAATCTTTTCAGATGTATAGTCAAGGTGATTGCTAGGATCTGAGTCTTTGTGTAAGAGTGCGTTGAGGAGATGCACACTTGGATGCGCTTAAACATAAAGTTAAGTAACCTAAACTTCGATCCTGTCCTGTGTGAAAGGACTCGTGGGTGTTCAGAGCATTTTCCTTCAGTGTAAGCCCCAGCTGACTTACGTGTTTTTCCTCTTCTAGATGGCAGACTGTGGTGGACTGCCACAGGTAGTTCAGGTAAGGAGATTGTCTTAAAAGCACCCATTTGATTCTGCCTCTCTGTGTGTGCAAAGAGTAATGCCTTTTCTTTTGCTCCCCTAGCCCGGGAAGCTCACCGAGGCCTTCAAGTACTTTTTGCAGGGAATGGGCTACAGTGAGTAGTACACAACTTTCTGTCTCACAAAGACTTATTGATGATGGGGTCATTTTGACACCTGGGGAGCCCGCAATTCTCAGGACATAACCTCTATGCTAGGCAGCCTGAAGTCAAGTAGAAACCAAAACGTTTATGGAGCGTTCATTTGTGTGTGTACATATAAAGATGAGCTGACACTTATTAAGCGCCTCCCTTGTCCCAGGCATACTATATTCTTATCCTTAAAAGGTAAGTTCTGTCATTAGTCCCATTTTATAGAAGAGGAAGCTGAGGCTCAAAGAGGCTAAGGCCCATTCCCAGCAGACCGTTCAGCTGCAGAGCCATGATTCAAGCATGGGCAGTCTGATTCCAGAGCCCATGTTTTCAACTGCTGAAGCTTTGGCTGTCTCAGCTGTGAATCTGAAATCATGATTTGCACTTGAACTCAGCTAATGACTCCTGGGCTAGGCTAGAGAAACAAAATGGAAGCTCCAGAAGAAAAGGGTAGTGTCCTCAGTTAGATCTACCACAGGAGATGAACTTGCAGAATATTTCAGGGTGAGTCCAAGGATGTGTCCATATCGTAAGCCCCTGTCCTGGTCTCTTATATTGTGAGACCCCTGAGCTTTCTCATTTGTCACAGAATAGCCACACTCGCTCCTTTCTTGGAGTTTTAAGAAGAAAAATCCTTCTACCCAGGTACAGAGCTCTTTACCCAGTAGGGTGATTTTTCTCCTGTCTCTGGCATCAGTTTGGGTAATGATCATTGGGCACCCTGCTCTGGGTAGCAGCAGGGCCCCTGGGTACAGCCCTGTACCTGGCAGGCAGACCGTGTATGTCTCGTCTAGAGTGGCTGTGTCATCCCCGTCTGTGAGCCACTACCAACCGAGCCCACACCCTCGTCCCTCTGGCTCACTGGGAGGAGCAGAAGTCCCTCTCCTAACACATTGTCGTCTCTTCCCTAGCAAAGGGCTGATCTGCCAGCCCATTTCTGATCCAAAGTGGGATGGCTGTTTATAGTGGAGGGGAAAACAGTTGCCTTTGACTAGTTGAGAGAAGTAACGTCCGAGATGCTATTGAAGCATCACTCAGTCTCACTCATCATCAGGACCTTAAAATAAAACTTCATCCCTGGCTTAGAGGATTCTGTCAGTGTCTACTGGGCAGCCGAAGTTGCCGCTTGGCACTCTCGGGTCACTAACCTGCCTTTTCCTGTGTCCATCCTGCTTCCAGTCCCGTATGTGCAGCTCAGTCACTTGAGCACCGAGCCAGGTACCTTCCTCTGTGCTGGTCCCACCCCCGCCTCCCAGCCACGCTCTCCCGGCTGCATTGGCTGCCTGCAGCATGTCCGCGGTTTTCCTGTGCAGTGAGAGCCCGATAGAACGTGGCTCATTGTGCCCCAAGAGGGTTAGCCTGTAGGTCCAGCCCAGGAGGAAGAAAGGAGCCAGGTTATAATAGCCAGGCTTCCTCTCATCATCCCGAATGCAGGGTCACAGCAGCCCCTGTAACTTTATAGGCAGGGCCCCTCTCCCACTACCACCTAGTGGTCCTTGAGTTAACCTCCAGACACAGGAAGCGAAGGGCAGCCTGGATTCTAAATAGGAGTGTCAGAGCCTGTGTCTGGAGAACTCTGCAGGTGATGGCATCTTTTGACCCCAGCATTGAAATAACAGCTGGAGGAGTGGCTGGCGCCTCAGGAAGGTAGAGAGGGAGGTTATGCCAGGTAAGGTCCTGTCCTGGCCAAGCTGGAAGGACCTCAGAGTCTAAGCAGTGGCAGAACAGGTGTCCGAGTTAAACACCCACCCCCAGAGGTCTTCCTCACAGGCCGCCTGTACCTCACTGCCTGTGGAGAGGCCGGCTCCAGGCCCACCTGCCCACCTACACACACACCTTCCTACACGTCTCCTCCCCAGGTAGCAAGGGTAGCCTGTGGACGCGGATGGTAGTCTCGTTGTATCGGGCTTGCACTGTGTTTGTGAAACACCTTCATACTTGTGTGGTTTGTGTTTCTTTTGGTTTAGTCTTGCATGCACTGCAGGTTTTGGTTACTTGTTTAGGTTCCCAAAGCCTCCTTTGTAATCACTGTGTGAATGGCGTGAGAGGCTATACTCTGGACTTAGGTTTCCCCTTGTTCTGCTGTGGACTAGAATCAGCGGAGATTCCAACCAGATCCAGAGGATTAAAGCAACCTTGCATATAGCCACTCACCTAGAGCAAATAGTACAAAGTGGGGGTGTCTATATCTTGTCCTGGGTATCACCTTAAATGGGTTGGGAAAGCTAAACATAAAGCCTTTGATGAAACTTCTAGATTAGCAGAGTTTAACCAGGCTCCATCTTCTAGTCCTCTTGGTTCTTTTTTACAGTACCGTCTGCCAGCATGACCCGGCTGGCCCGATCACGAACCCACTCAACCTCAAGTAGCATCGGCTCTGGAGAAAGTGCCTTCAGCCGATCTGTCACCAGCAATCAGTCAGATGGAACTCAAGAATTCTCTGAGTCCCCTGATGCTCTGGACAGACACCATACGATGGAGGTGTCCTGCTAGGCAGATGCCCCTCCGCTGGACCATGCAGGTCCCTCCTCCTTCAGACAGCCACTCCATAAGATAACATTTCATACAGCAAACTGGCATCTGCTATCTTTAACTCCTGCATGGCCACTGACTCTCTCTCTGGTGTCCTGGATTTATCATTCTCTCTGCCTACCCACCCCCCTTTTGTATGTACCAAGAACCACTTCCATGCCATTACTGTAACATTCCAACATCTTTAGCTGATCAATTCTCCATATCTTCTCTTGACAGCTTTTTCCCATGCTTTCCCAGCTATGTGTCTGATAAGATTCTTTGATCCTGATGTATGTGTGAGCACGTGTGTCTGTTTGCGTGTGCATAGTTCTGTGATTTTAGACATGCCTTCTTGTAGAGCTTATGCAAAAAACAAAAAAGGGACTTTTTTTTTTTGCATTTTCAATGGTGTTTTTAGGGGAAATATGCAGAACAGATTTCTAAGTTGAGTAGGCCACTGCATTCTCTTTTGGTTCCCAATTGGTCAACAAGATTTGCGAAATGACTTCAGGAGAAAGCAGCCATGAGGAATGCAGAAGATCATGACTGCCGAGTGGACCGTTGATTAACTGTGACTGATAAGAGGGAGCCTGTTATGTGGAGAAGCAGGCAGGGTGGCCAGCCACCTCCTTCTGTCCAAATGGATTCACATATAGCATTCTGTAAATAAAAGAAAGGGACATATTCTGTTAAAAACCCATGAAAGATGAGGTTCTGATGTGACATGAACTTTTTCAGAGGGAGCGAGTGTGGCTGAGTTACTGGACTCTCTCAGCACGGGAAGGTGAAAAACAAAATGCCAGGCCTCTGGTCCACCGGAGGAGAGCTGCTGTCCTGCCGTGTCTGATACACGTACCAGACGTCCGCAGGAAATCCCTCACAGGACTGTTACAGAGAGTGCTTCTTAATCCCTCAGTCCCCGAAAAAGGTAGATGGTGAAGAAATGGAAGTAGATCGGGGGAGAGGAACAGACAGTAACACGATATGTTTAATAAGTACAGTCTTGATTTCAGCAGAGTTAAGGGAAGCTAAATGAAATCAAGATCACACCCATTTCTCAAAAAGATTCTTAATCCTGTGAACTCCCTTTTGTAGGAGGGAAGGGAGCAGCCTGTCCAGGTAAAATTGTGTTCAGTCTACTGCTCTGTGAGGGGGTCACAGCCAGAGAGTATGGCTGGGAGGAGGGTGAAACCAGCTGCCACACAGCAAGGACCTCACTCTTGAGGGCATCAAGACGTAAGCTCAGGGTTACACAGTTTTGAATCTTAGGAAGGGGCTTTTCAGACATAATGTTCACTTTCTGCTGAGATAGGGAATGCGTCGCTCTGCCAGAGTACGACTTTTTACAGATTATTAAATAAAGCTGTATATGTCTCATTGTTACCCGATTGCTGGTGCTCTTTCTCTCAAGCCGCTCACCGGGGCTCAGGGAGGGACTGAGTTGCTGGGTGTGGGCTCCATGCTGGGCATTTTCACATACTTGATGATTATCCGACCCAGTGACGCTGTCCATTTACAGTGAGGAAATGAAGACTCGGGATAAATAATTTGCCCAAGGTCGTACCAGGAAGCCCAGCCAGGATTGAACCCCGAGTCCATCTGACACACCTGTATTCTCCTCAAACCAAAAATCATGGAAGCCCGACCATACGATCTTTGATGGAGGAGAAGCTAAGCTGGGATCTTGGAAAAGTGTTCTGAGTCTCAGCCCTGCCACCTGCCACCTGCTGGGTCCCACCCCTCATGTAATAATCTGCAACCACTTGTCTGAGTTCCTCAAACAGACCAGGCTGTACTTCTCCAGAAAGGGTGGTTTTTGTACCCACCAAGAATAGTTTCAGGAGGCCGCCATCTCAGGTCAGTTTTGAATTCTCCAGGGGCTGCTGCTACCATAGGACATCGAGACAGATACGGGTCCCCAAGCTGAGCTCCTGACGATGCATACAGGCCAATACAGTTCCAGAGCTGAAGGGGGTCTGACAGCCACAGTTGCTCTTAAAACCCACGTTGCTCCAGCCTTCTTGGCCACACCCAGCGTGGATGGTTGCTGGCTTTCCCACCTGAGCCTTGTGCCTGGAGTCAGGCCCCAACTGACTACACCTGACTGGTCGTCCTCACACTCAGTCCTCTTCTCATTTTCATTTCCTTTCTTTCTATTCAGTCCAAAAATATTTGGGTGCCTGCTTTCTGAGAGGCAAGGAAGTGGCCAGGTAGGCTCTACAGAGTCTCCACAAGGTGGTTGTGTGAAGTTCTTCCATACAGATCGTCTTGCCCAGTTCTCGTGGTGACTCCACAAAGTAGGCAGTGTGTTTTACAGACTACAGACAAGGAACAGCGGAGGAAAATTAAGTGATTTGGCTAAAGTCACGTAGCTTGGAAAGTTCCCAGTTCTTCCAAAATCAATGTGTTTTCATATTTTATTGAGTCTTTTATTGAGCATCTACTACAGGCCAGGCCCTAAGCACCTTCCTGTATGTTTCCTTCTATTGATGCAGTGAGATACGTGCTAGTCCCATTTGATGGATGAGAAAACAGGCTCGAGGTAAACTAGTTTACAAATGGTCACAAAACTAATAAGCAGCATGGGGCCAGCCCCTTGGCCCAGTGGTTAAGTTTGGCACACTTTGCTTTGCAGCTCTGGTTCAGTTTCCAGGTGCGGACCTACACCACTCGGCGGCAGCCATGCTGTGGCAGCGACCTACATACAAAATAGAGGAGGATTAGCACAGGTGTTAGCTCAGGGCAAATCTTCTTCAGCAAAAATAGAAAGAAACCCCTAAGAAGCAGCAGATCTGGGCTTTTATTTATTAAGATTTTTATTTTTCTCCCTAAAGCCCACCGGTACATAGTTGTGTATTTTTAGTTGTGGGTCCTTCCAGTTGTGGCATGTGGGGTGCCGCTTCAGCATGGCTTGATGAGTGGTGCCATGTCCGCGCCCAGGATTTGAACTGGCGAAACCCTAGGCCACTGAACTGGAATGCACAAACTTAACCACTCGGCCACGGGGCCGACCCCAGATCTGGGCTTTTAAATCCTAATTCTTAGAGGCCCGCCTGAGTGGAAAGGGAGCGTACGTGGTGGGATTTTTTAGAGAGACCAGAGACAGATAGAGACAGACAGACAGACAGACAGATAGATATACACACACAATGCAATACCACTCAGCCATGAAAAAAGGTGATATCGTGCCATTTGCAACAAGATGGATGGACCTTGAAGGTATGCTAAGTGAGATAATTGGGACAGAGAAAGACAATTACTGTATGACTTCACGCGTAAGTGGAAGATAAACACATAGATACCAAGAACAGACTGGTGGTTACCAGAGAGGAAGGAGGTGGGGGGAGGGTGGAAGGGGTAAAGAGGCACATATGTACTGTGACAGATGGAAACTAGACTTTTGGTGGTGAACAGGACTCCGTCTATACAGAGGCCAAAAATGTAATGATGTACACCTGAAATTTAGTGTTGTAAACCAGTGTGACCTCAATAAAGTAAAAATAAATAAATAAACCAAGGAAGAAGCAGTGTTCCAGGGCACTCTTGCTTCCAAATTTAAAAAATAAAAAGGAGACCAGAGACAGTCATTGCCTACTTTCATGGACATCACCTTGAGGCCAGTCTGAAAGTCTGCCTGTCCAATGAGAAGATGGACAACAATCAGAGTGGTGTGCAGGCAGGAGCAGGAGCCTGTGCTCAGTTCCCTCCCTGCCACGAGCTACATCCTTGAGTGGCCGTCACCCATACTAACATCCTAGTTAGAACTTTCATACAGAGCGTACGCCTCCACTTTGGCTCCTTCAGCTCCACACCAACTGCCCTCAGAGTTAAATTTCAAACCATCCTTCCCCAGGAGAAAGGGAGAACCTGAGCTGGAGTGTGCCCTGGCTGGCAAGGCCCCAGAAAAGGCTGCGTAGTCTGAGCTGGAAGAAGGAGCTTATTTCAGTGCGGTGCGCCGTTTCGTGTTAAAGCGCATCTGTCTCCAGGAGTACTAAACCCGCTAAAGGAAAGGCAGCAAGTGGGTGTGGCTATTTAGATTTTAATGAGTTGGGGATTTTATTAAATTTTAATGACTGAAGTTAACACGAATCAAAGGCAATTCCATCAGAGATTCTTTATCCTTGCTGAGTGATTCTCAAGCTTGGGGTGTGCGCCAGAATCACTTGGAGGACTTATGAAAAGACTTGCTGGCCCCACCCACAGAGTTTCTGATTAAGCAGATCTGAGATGAAGCCCGAGAATTTGCATATCTGACAAATTCCCAGATGATGCTGAGGCTGCTGGCCTGGGTACCACACTTGGAGAAGCACTGTCCGGGTCTTGCTACTCGAAGTGTGCCCGGGCCAGCAACATGGGTATCTCCTGGGATTTGTTAGCAAGGCAGAGCCTTGAACTCCACCCCAGACTCACGGAACAAGAATCTACTGTTCAACAAGATCTCAAGGGGATTCTATACACATTGAAGTTTGGGACACATCACTTCAAGGCAGTGCTTCCCAGACTTCCAGTCAAAGGAATCTCTTGGAGTATTTAAAATTCATATTCCTAGGCTGCTCTGGTGACTTGGATTCAGAAGATGTGGGAGGATCCCAGGAATCCGATCTTAAGTCCCTCAGGTGATTATGATGATCAGGTAAGCATGGGAAACTCCTGCTCATTTGCGTCGCTTCTGTGTTCCTTGGGCAAGACCAAGCCACAAAGCCAGAGAAAAACCTCTCCCTCCAGGATCATGACTAGGCAGCTGCTTCTCCCCCAGAAACAGGAACTTGGGGAAGGTGGCTCCTCGATGGTTTATGATGCCGTCAGAGGAAGCGGGTGGTTGTGAGAACCACAGAGTCTGCAGATGTGAGCCAGGAGCCCCAAGGACCCCATCACAGAGCTCAGAGAGCTCTGGGCCTTCTTCCCTGACCAGGCTGTGCTTGAGAGGGCCGCCCAGTCAGGGGTCCCTAAGGAACACAGAGCTCCCGTCCCAGTGGGTGTACAAACTGCTGACCACAGGCAAATACGGAGCTACCCAAAGCGACACTGAGAGACTCTCTCTGAAGATTCTCCCAGGCCTGGAGGGTTCTGGGTGTCCTAGGACTAAGTATGTTGGCAGACTTCCAGAAGGGCCCCCCAAAGCCCTAACCTCTCCGGCCAAAGCATGTGTCTAAGCTGAGCCCCCGCCCCAAGCCTCCGATGGCAGGAAACCAGTAAGTATACTTGCTTTTATTTTCCGATGGCCTTGGGACTGTGAGGAAGGATGGTCCCCGCAGACTAGGAGGGGGCTTTACAGGTGGGACACAAAAGGTCAGGGAGAAGGGGAAGTGGTTCTGCTGAGGATGTAAGCGGGGTGGTTTCTGAGGGTCCCCTAAGGGTCCGAGGCCTCCCCCTCCCCCTTTGACTGCCCCCGGAGAATTACATCATGCCCTTCAGTTTGTCTTCATGCCCCTTCTGGTCCCTTCTTGGTTACCAACTTGTTATGTGACTTTGGGGCCCTCTCTGGGCCACAGCCTCCCAACGTCAGTGAATGAGAGGAGTCTGGGTTATATTCTCTGAAGACACTTTCAGCTCTAGTGTCTCTAGAGTCTACAGTTCCTCTCGAAAGGGTGATATTTCTCAGTAGAAAGAGAGGGAGAGGTCTTTGGGTCAATCCAAATTCATCGCTCCTCCCTCCGCTGCTGAGAAATTATCTTCAGAAGCACAAAAATACAAAGATGTGGATTGTACACCCAGCCCTGCACCAACCAGCTGCGTGACAGTGAGCACAGCTCACCCTCTCTGGGCCCTGCTCATCGTATCTGAATGGGATTCAAGCCTGCTGACTTCTCAAAGGACCAAGTGAGACGGTCAAAAAGCAGTTGAGGGCAGTGTGCTGATCTCAGCTGCCTTTTCCTAACTTTCCTTCCACCCACTCGCCCGGGTCCCCCAGAAAGTGCCTAGCACATACTAAGTTGCTCAAATACTTGCGTAACTAATGATTAGATTCTCTCTTTTAAAAGTTTTACAAGTCTCTCCTTCTCATGAACCTACCCATCCCATGGTCTTCATTTCGCCCCCAGGGAGCTTCCTGGATTTGAGCAGACCAGGTGAAGGGAGCTGGCAGAGCGTTGTAGGGGCTTCCAGCCTGAGTGTGGCTCTCTACCTCCCTCAGGCCCATCCCGCAGCTCCACCTGCTGTGGGAAAAAATTTCTGGGTTTAGTGCAGTTGGTGATTGTGGGGACTTTGTTTTGCTGACGAGGGGAAAGGAAACTAACCTTTACTGAGCACCCACCCTGGGCCTGTTGCCTCGACTTCTCTTCACAACCCTGTGACGTTGGTATTATGCCTGATTCAAAGATGAGACTCAGAAAGATTACGTGGTTTGCCTGAGGTCACACAGCTCAAGCCTGGTTGGTGAATTAATCACTTGTGCTGCTCACTCCCTGGGATCTTCTGGACCTGTGTCTGCACGGTTAAGCACAGAGCCTGAACCTCATAGCCAAGGGGAAAGGAAGGGCTAGGGAGCAGCGGGAATGTTGAAATCCTGATGTGGGGGTGCCATCGCAGTGAGGGAACCAGAGAGGTCCTCGGGAGACAAGCAGCAGCACCATCTCTGACTGCTAAGGCGTCAGGATCCCAAAGTCTGAGCAGGGAGTTGCTGCCAGGAGCCATTTCCTAAAGATGGGCCTGTTTGGTATTAAAGAGCTCCTGTCCCCATGAATAATGGACTCGCCAGGGGAGGCAGCCGCAAACAGTGCCTGTTAGCCCTGTACCAATGATGCGAGCCTGCAGCACAGAGGGTAACCGCGCACAGGGAGAGGGCTGTTCCATCCCTAAGGCAGGGTCTTTACTCCTCAGACTCCTGGCCCAGGAGCCATGGAAGTCCCTCCATAATAGTGACAGACACCTGTCCGCACCAAGGCACCGTGAAGGGTTCAAAGGGAAGGATGGAGCCGGCTACGTCACCCTGCCTTTCCGTGAGCCCCTCCAGGGAAGGAGCGTGGCTTCGTCCTCCCATGGTGGAGTGCCTGACATGGAGAGGGACTGGATGAGTACCGGAGGAATGGAACCACACTGGTTAATCGTGCCTTGTCTTTACTGAAAAGACTGAAGCCACCTTCCCAAAACACTTTCATAGAGTGTTTGGAGAAATCAGCATTACCCTGGAAACCTGGGGATTTAAATTATTCTCAGGATAAGACACCTCTCCAAAGATATAATAACCATTTTGCCCATTAGTTAACGTGAGTCGAGGGCCTTCTGTGGGCCAGGTGCCTCATGAGATGTTGCGGCAACAGGCAAACAAAAAGAGGCTCTCGTCCTCACTGAGCTTTAGAATAATGGCAGATTAAACAGGTAAACAGTCTAATAAATGAGCAAGTAAGACTTGGGGAGGAACACAACAGGGGGCTGAGAGAGAGAAAGGGAAGGCTCCCAGGAGCGGCCTCTGGTGAAGGGCCATTCAGGGCCTGTAAAGGAGAAGCGGGCCCTCCCAGGCTTTTCACATGCCACTCTCTCGGCCCCTGTGGTGGGTATTGTTATCTCCATTTTTCAGATGAGGAAACAGAGGCAAAGAGAGGGGAAGTGGCTCGACAGCCAATCCTCCAAAGCCTTGCAAGTCATCACTGTGTCATTCAGTCTCCCAGTCATCTTACTTTGCCCTGCGACACCAATAACAGTGTGCTCACTGTCACCTTAGCTTGTTGTGACATCAGTTCCTGGGCCCCCTCGGATCCCCCTTGCCCACCCATGGGTCCCCATGTTTGGAGTAAACTCCGCGCTGTCATTGTCCCCTGCCACCCAGTGGCAGAATGTGACTCCCAGTCAGGAAGTAGTTCTGAGTAGCTATAGGAATGGTCAGCGAGGGCTGGGGGATTCAGGGAAAGCTTCCTGGGGAAGGGTGGGATCCAGACAGGCATGAGGAGAAAAAGAACATTCCAGCCAATGGGAGGGCACACCGCACACGCAAAGGCCCAGAAATAGAGAATCAAGGGGCTAGCCCTGTGGCCAAGTGGTTAAGTTTGCACGCTCTGCTTCGACGGCCCAGGGGTTCACCGGTTCGAATCCTGGGCACGGACATGGCACTGCTCATCAAGCCATGCTGAGGCGGCGTCCCACATAGCACAACTAGAAGGACCCACAACTGAAAATGCACAACTACGTACTGGGGTGCTTTGGGGAGAAAAAGGAAAAATAAAATCTTTAAAAACAAAAAAACAAGCGTGGCTGCAGCGAAGAAAAAATGGCAGGCAGAGAAAATAGAGTCCAGTTTGCAGAGCCTTCAGAGTCTGGGGGATGGGGCTGGAGGCTGGGCCTGATGGGAGGGAGATCGTCCTCTTGTGTCAGCAGGGAGGTGGCAGGGCCTAGCAGGGGAGGGAGGGCTTCTGGGGAGCAGGCTGGAGCCACGGCCCTGTCCAAATCCCAGCATCTCTTTCAGATTTCTCTCGGTGACGTGCTTCTGAGAGTTCCACTGAGGAACGATGGGAAGTCAGCCCAGCAGAGGGAAAGCCCAGCCAAGCCCAAGCTTGAGCCCCTCCGTCCAAGGCCAGGGCCCTGTGACCGTGCAACCAGGTAGGCCATGGGGCCCGGGGCAGCCAGGCCTTCCCAGGTACCATGAGGCTGTGCAGCCCGATATCGCCGCCTCTGCTGGTCAGCCTGACTAGCCACTCCAGCACAGCTTCAAGTGTCACTGAGCACCTGCTGTATACCAGGCCCTTCCCAGTGAACCGTCCAGCTAGGGGCTCTGCTCTTGTGGAGCTCACATTTCGGCAGTTGGGCCATTGAACAAGCAGATCAACTGGAAAATGTGAGGGGCCAGCCCGGTGGCGCAGCGGTTAAGTTCACACGTTTCGCTTCTCGGCAGCCCGGAGTTCGCTGGTCCCGATCCCGGGTGCAGACATGGCACCACTTGGCAAAAGCCGTGCTATGGCAGGCGTCCCACGTATAAAGTAGAGGAAGTTGGGCACGGATGTTAGCTCAGGGCCAGTCTTCCTCAGCAAAAAGAGGAGAGTTGATGGTAGTTAGCTCAGGGCTAATCTTCCTCAAAAAAAAAAGGGCCGGCCCGGTGGCGCAGCGGTTAAGTTTGCACGGTCCGCTTCTCAGCAGCCAGGGGTTTGCAGGTTCGGATCCCGGGTGTGGACATGACACTGCTTAGCATGCCATGCTGTGGTAGGCATCCCACATATAAAGTAGAGGAAGATGGGCACAGATGTTAGCGCAGAGCCAGGCTTCCTCAGCAAAAAAAAAAAAAGAGGAGGACTGGCAGTAGTTAGCTCAGGGCTAATCTTCCTCAAAAAAAAAAAAAAATGAAAATGTGAGAGAGTGGCAGGTGCTACCTCCCTTCTCCTCAGCCAGTTTATCCCCAGACTGAGCTCGCAACTCGATGGCCAGACCTGCTTGTGTAGCTCTCCAAAGCTGCACTGTCCCTTACAGTAGCTACTGGCCATATGCGGCTATTTAAATTTAAGCTAATATTAATTAAAATAAAACTTTCAGCTCCTCAGTCACTCTAGCTGCATTTCAAGTGTTCAGGAGCCATGTGAAGCTAGTGGCTACCTTACTGGACAGCATAATTACAGAACATTTCCTTCATCACAGAAACAGCTTCCAGACAGCGATGCTCCAAGGTGTCTCCTCTTACCCTGAGAGGAGCCGTGAAACACTTGAAGCAAAATTGGGGCTTTGGTAATTGGAAAAAATTAGCACCTACAATGCATATGCTGAGCCTATAACCATGACTCTCTGAGGTTATCCTGACTAAAAATGCCAGTTTTTAGGACAACTGGACCATCAAAACATCATAGAAATTCTAATATTTTGATGTCAAAACTACAGCTCCCAATTTGTTTCTTGTTCTCCCAAACAGTCCACAAATCCTTTCTCAAAGCGCATCCTGAGTTGGGGTTTTGATAATATATTTGTCAGGGTTCTCCAGGGAACCAGAACCAATAGAGGGGTGTGGGGGTGTGTGTGCGTAGACAGAGAAAGAGAGAGAGATTTAAGAAACGGGCTCACGCAATTGTAGGCCGGCAAGTCTGAAATCTGCAGGGCAGGCCCGCAGGCTGGAGACCCGGGGAACAGCTGATGGGTCCGTCCTGAGTCTGGAGGCAGAATTCCCTCTTTCTCGAAGGACCCGTCTTTTTCTCTTAAGGTCTTCGACTGCCGGGATGAGGCCCACCCACATTATGGAGAGTAACATTTCTTCAAAGTCTATTGATGTAAATGTTAATCTCATCTAAAAAATATCTTTACAGCAACATCTAGAGTGGTGTTTGACCAAATATCTGGGTGCTGTGGGCAGCCATGCTGACATGAAATTAACCACCACAGATAAGGAGAGCACTTTAAACCGAGCAGCACGTTTAGGAGGAAGGACGTGGACGCACACTTAAACAGAACTAGGAGACCGCAGAGCCAAATTTCTGGATGTCTGTGTTTGGACACAGCTGTCCCCAATCTGAAAACTCCCCTACAGTGGCTGGGGCTTCCTTCCCATCCCTCAGTATTCTCATCTCCCTAATACCAGCCTCCCCCCAAGTCCCCAGGCCTCGGTGCCCTGGGCCCTGCAGGACTGCTGTTGGGGAGGCAGCTGCCTCTTTTTAGCCACTCAATCCCACCAAGAGCCTGGGGCCTGGCAGGTGCCACAGGAAGAGACCTGGAAACCACACAGACCTCTACCTTGTTTCCTCTAAATCTAGCCACAGGCAGCAGCCTGAGGCTGCTCTGAGTCATGCCCAGGGTGCTGAGGGGGACGATCCCCCCCCCCAGTTCTGCCAGCAGGTGTTCTGGGAGCCCTCCCTCCCTGTGGGACGTGAGGGGGACTGCCTTCATCCCTCTGCCCGTGTCTCCAGGGAAAAAATGGGCCTCTCTCAGTAGGTCTACCCTTGGTCCCAGTGGGAACATGGATTCGGGGCAACTCCTTCCATAAGCCATGTGTTTGTCCACCAACCTTGCATCCATCCAAAATCTACAGAGGCTCTACCATATGCCAGGCCTGTGCCAGGACCAGGGGACACAGCAGTGGACAGTACAGGCACAGTCCCTGCCCTCAGGGACAGTCAAGTACCAGAGACAGGCACTAAACCAACAATCAATTACAATCGTGTTAGACTTTGGCCAGTGTGATTTAAGGGATTCTGCCCGGGAGGGTGTGCAGAGCGGCTTGTCGGGGAAGGCTCCCCTTGGGCGGGACGTTGCACCCAGGGAGTGAAGGAGGAAGGTGAGTCGGCCAGGTGGAGATGGCCAATTGGAGGGACAGCACAAGAAGCTCAGTGGCTCCTGGGGTGCAAGGCCGGGGCTTCCAGGAGGGGAAGGGGCGCCTCCAGGCCACCTGGTTCCACCTTGTCGGAGGACGCCCTCCACAAGACTTGCTTGCCTCGTTTGTTTGGGCATCAGGCATTTCCCTGTACTGTGGATGGCCAGGCCCTGTGCTGCCAACGGCTCAGAGAAGGAGAGACCCCTGGGCTGCAGTCTGGGGCCACCACAGAGTTCTCTGCATGTGTCTAGGAGGACGTGTAGGAACCAGTCCATTTCCAGAATCAGTCTTGTTCTTCACGTGTCTGCCTAGAGCAGAGGCCCTTAGCCGACACAGTGTCCAGCTCTGGTTCTGTTCCATCCATCCCCTGGGTCCTTGTCTGTCCATCTCTTCCCCCCGCCCCCCCGCCACCTCCTGGGTCCCCAACCCTGTCTAGAGGGCCTTGCAGAGCCCTCTCAGGCCTTGGCCCCTTCAGGAGCATCTAGGAGACAGATAAACCTTTCTTGTTGACCTTGACTGCTTTTCATAGCTTGATGCATCGAAATGCTCACAAGTCTCTCTCCTTCCCCTTTGTTACAGAGACACCTACTGAAGTAGGATAAAAAGGGAGGAAGGGAGGAACACGGGGGTGCAGGTGAAGTGGTTCTCACCAGCCCATGGAGGGCAGGTTTTTCAGGACAGGAAGGCCCGGACGGGCATCAGGAGGTCTACTTAGACTGGGCAGGCTGCTCCCTGAGGTGGGTGAGGGGATAAGCATCCTGTGCTGAGGGAGCTGCTGGCCGCTGCTCTCCAGCCTCGAAATTGGGCCTCATGGCCACAGTGTCCTCAGGACCAGTCTTAGTGTGGTGGTGTGGGGGAGTGGGGATGGCGGCGGGTCCTCTGGCACTGTGACTCCCTTTCTGAACTTCAGCCTCCCCGGGACTCTGGGCCCTTGCAGAGTGTGCTGCTGCTGTCTAGCCCAGTGCCCTCGCCCTGGGCCTGTGATCAGCCACAATGGTCACCTGTCCCAACAGTGCCCTATGGGAGGAGGGAGACCAGGGTGGTGTGGCATAGGAGCTGTGCTTTTGCTCCCAGAGGAGGGCCCTGCCGAACCTCGGTTACCTCGCTGTGCAATGAGGCTGACTAGACATGACTACCTCAGGCGCTCGTGAGGGCCAAGAGGAGGCATGCAGTTGTTCAGTGAGAGATGGCAGGTGTGTGACCAGGACACTGGACTGAGCCATATGCACCTGCTGGGCACCTGCTCTGGGCCAGGCCAGGCACAGTGGGCACCGGGGCTGCCCCTCTTGTTGGGGCAGCACAGACTTACACCGCCGCTCTGGACAAAGGCCACAGGAGAGCCACTCTGCCCACGTGCACAGCACTCTAGAGTTACAGAGCTCATCCACATCTGTGATTTCACGGGGCCCTCCAGGAACCCTCCTCCCATGCCCACCCCTAAGCCCCAGCCCTCAAAGCTGATCCATCCAGTGCCCATCTCATCAGCACCTTCCAGAAGCTGAGCTCAGGGATCGTGCTGATACCTGCTTGGAGCTGTAGGTTTTAAGCAGAATCCCTTTATCAAAATCTGTGAGGGTCTGTATATAAAAGGGGATTGTAGCCAGGAGTCCCACTCCTCTTGCCACACCAGCCTTTTCCCTGAGGTGACCCCAAGAGATGTCTGGGCCCCCCTAGGGCTATGCAGAGCCCTGCTGTTTTGAAAAAGCTTCAGATTGCGGAGCTGCCCTCTTGGGATCTCAGCAGACATGGGAAAGTTGCCGGTGGGAGCCCAGGCTCCACCAAACCTCCCATCTGAAGGAGGGCTGGCTGAGAGGGTGAGCGTCTCTGTCTCTCTATCCAGACAGGAGTAGGGCCACAGCTGTGGCCCTGGGCAGTTTCCCGGTAGGTGAGCAGGCAGAGCTGTCGCTGAGACTGGGGGAGCCACTGACCATCATCTCTGAGTAAGTCCTTCCCGGGCACTGGGTGGGGTTCTCTGCTGCCTCCCCTGGAAACCTGAAAGTGCACAATGGGATAAGGGGGCCCTCCCTCCAGGAGAAAAGAGCATGGCCTTTGATGCGAGCTCCCACGGGGCCCTAATGGTGGGATTGCTTGACACACCTGCAGGGAGAAGCAGTGGGTGGGCAGGGCCTTGCAGGGGCCCCTGAATCATGCCATCTGCCATCAGGAGGTGGCGCCTGGACTGGCTGGTACAAGGAAACCTGGGAAACTCAGGTGGGACAGGTAGCCACAGGATCCAGCCTACAGGGTCCTTGTGAATCCTGAATGAGCAGTTCCCAGAACCTTGGCCCTTCTGAGAGAGGTCCCCTCTCCTTTCTCTCTCCAGGAATGGAGACTGGTGGACGGTGCTGTCAGAGGTCTCAGGCAGAGAGTACAGCATCCCCAGCATCCATGTGGCCAAGATCTCCCATGGGTGAGTTCACACCCCAGGCCCTGCCTTAGGGGAGCTTCCTGCTTCCTCTTTCCACAAATGTAGTGCTTTATGGCCAGTGCTGTGCTGAGCAAGGCTGGGGATGGAGGAAGAATCAGGCCCAGGCCCAGTCCCAGGCCCTGCGCTCAAGAGGAGCAGACGGTTCACCCTCTCAGAGCCTGGAGGGGTGGGCCCAGGAAGGCCTCAGTCAGCAGTGGTGGTCTGGGCTCGGAGGGTGCCCCGGAATCTGGTGGTGGAGAACGCTGACAGGGACTTTCAGGAGAGGGGAGCAGCGTGTCCTGAGGCAAGAAAATGGAGGGGCAGCGCCCACAGCGAGGGGAGCCTCCTTGGGCTTGCCCTTCCAAGAGGTGCCTCTGCTGGAGGACTGGACGCTGGATGCAGGGTCTCTCACCAAGAGTGAGCTGCGAAAGAAACGGACTCCAGAGCAACTTCTGTGTCAGGAGAGAGAAAGGAAGTGACCTGCCTTTTGGTGGGATCTACCTGAGTCACAGGGAGTCAGGAGGGCATCACTGTGTGTGCTGTGACAGCCTCTCCTCAGTTCTGAGAGAAAGCACGGCTCCGGCCCTCGATGGCCTTCCTTTTCTGAGGCTCATGGCACGTCTGGCTCTGCTGAAAGTAGCACTGGGACCCAGAGATGTGGGGGCACCCCGTAGAACAGGCTCACATGGAGTGTGTCTGCAGCCCTGTGTTTCCTGCTGGCCAGAGGTTTTCCATCCACAGGGTGGCAGTGAGTTTAAGCCAAGGAAACACTGACTACCTCCAAGGGTCCCCTTCCCTTGCCACTCCTTCATTTCCATCCTCAGTTTGCGTAAGTCCTGTGAATGACTTGTTGTACTTACTCCAAAACTAGGCTAAGTTTATTGCTGGCACCAAGAGAGTTGCAGCTTCTCTGATTTATTTACTTGGAGTCAGCTCAACCTTGACTCTGACTTTGTGGAATTTCACAAAATGACAGAGGCAGCAATTTCCATCGAATTGGCTTCTGTAGGCTTTGCCTTGGGCCCCAGGGCATGACTCTGGGCACACCAGAGGCTGATGGACTAATAATAAAAAAAATTCCAGGGGCCGGCCTGGTGGCACAGCAGTTAAGTGCGCACATTCCACTTTGGTGGCCCGGGGTTCGGCTGTTCGGATCCCGGGTGTGGACATGGCACCACTTGGCAAGCCATGCTGTGGTAGGCGTCCCACATATAAAGTAGAGGAAGATGGGCATGGATGTTAGCTCAGGGCCAGTCTTCCTCAGCACAAAGAGGAGGATTGGCAGCAGATGTTAGCTCAGAGCTAATCTTCCAAAAAAAAAATTCCTGCAAAACTGCCGGAACTTTCCATTGTGGTTAAGTCCTTCGTGGACACACACAGGTGAGGGATTAAGTGAAAAGAGGAAGGAAAATGTGGGATCAGAGTAACCAACGATCCCAGCATGGAAAGAGGCCCCGAGGAGTAGGTTGTGTACCATCTGTGCTTTGGAAGGCCTGGATGGTAAGCTATCGGCTGCATGGTTTTTTCCAAAATTTTAGAATGTCTTGAACATTCTAGTTCCAATCTTTCTACCCACAAATAAGCGTCAGTGGGAGTTAGATTTCAGTGATAATAAATGCTCACCTGCATACCTTTTGGCTACAAAGTTAAACTTATGTTCAAACAAAATATTTACTAAAATCTAAAAAAAAGGAAAATGGGCTGTTCTTAGAAAGGTGAAGGCTTAGAAAGGTGAGTGGATAGCATAGGGGTGCTGGGGCAACAGGGAAGTGATAGGAGAGTCTGGGATCACCCAGCCTGCCCCTGGCCACTTGGGAATGAAGTCACCAGGCACAGAAGGCCGGAGGTCACCTCATGAGGTTGTCGTCTGAGGCCCCTGGAGCCAGGACCAGGACAAATCTGGGAGGCCCTCGGAGGCCCCGAGGCCAGCTCTTCATGGTACAGCTCTGAGGCCCAGAGAGGAGCAGGGGTTCCAGTAGAGTCTCGTCCCACCCACCCCCAGGCTGACCTCTGTGCCTCTCTCTGCTTCTCCCCCAGGTGGCTGTATGAGGGCCTGAGCCGGGAGAAAGCTGAGGAACTGCTGCTGCTGCCTGGAAACCCTGGAGGGGCCTTCCTCATCCGGGAGAGCCAGACCAGGAGAGGTGGGTAAGCTCAGCCCCGTCCTGGGCTCGTCCCTTGAATGCTAAGAGCCAAGTATGATGTGACTTGGGAGTGGAGGTAGGAGGCCAACTGCAAAGGGTTGGAATGCCTGGCCTGGAGTTGGGCAGCCTGTCTGACTGAGCGCCATGCTGCTGCCATGAGAGTCCATCAGCAACGAAGCAACCTGCGTTTCTAGAAGTGGGTGTGAATGGCCCATAGTAGGGATCCAGGCTCAGCCAACACTTTGGCAACTGGTACTTGCAATAGAGTACAGTCACAGGATTTCCCTGCCCTGACCAGTACTAATTCTCCTTCCCCAAGACTCAGTATAATCCTCATCTCTTGGCAAGACGTTGACAGGTTGACAAGGTCTCTGTGCTTTGGGTCACCAGTGAGTCAGAGCCAGAAAATCTGTTAGAAGTCACCTCATGATCTCCCTCTCTCCACTGTACAGATGGGGAAACAGAGGCCTGGAGAGGGGGAGGGAGGTGTCACATTGCAGGTTCATATGGGACTTCTCCTACCCCGGGTGCAAACAAAACAGGAAGTTGATAAAGGCTATCTCTGATGCCCCTGCCTCCCTCTGAGCTGCCGCCCTGAGTCCCTCACTGTAGGGGCAGAGAGGGACGTAGACCGAGTGGCAGCGCCTATGTTTATGTTAGGTCCTTTAAGTGCCTTCAAAGAGCCCTGTGGGGATTGCACTTCCATTGTCCCCATTTTACAGATGAGGAAACTGAGGCTTAGAGCAGAGAAACGATTTGCTGGGGAGATACAGCTAATAAGTACGGAGCTGGGATTCAAACCCAGCTGAGGTTCGTCTCACTTCAGAACCCAATGGGAGGAGATACTCAGGAGTGAGGTCCGGCCTCCTGTGCTTGCCCTAACTGGAACCGACTGTGATGGGTGGTCAGGGTCCTTTACACTCTACTCAGTCTCCCTCTGGACCCCCTCCAACGCATCTTTGCCTCTCCTCCCCTTCCTTTCGGAGCTCCCTGGCTTGATGTCTCCCCCAGCCCCTCCAGCTGTTTTCCAGGCAGCATCAGCATCCACCCTCACACATACCCATAGGCTGGCTGGGGTGGGGGGCTGGCCCGAGCACCGCAGCTGCGAACAGGAAACCGCAGCGGTGATGCTGATAGGGGCAGGGGTGCTGCAGACCGGGCCTCAGGAGCCTGAGAAGCCACAGGAAGTGCTCCGTGCTCAGCTGCCCCACCCCCACCCCCTCTGGCCTGGTTTCAGCTGCAAGAGCATAGTGACCAGCACTTACTGCCACTCTGCCCCTTTCTCAAGAAGGTACATGTACAAGAGGAACCGACTGAGAAATAAAAGAGAAAACAGATAAGGACCCACATAGACTGGGATCAAGGTTAGATTTGACTCTGAGGTTCCCCATAGCTTCCCATCAGAATCCAGCTCTCATTATCAAAAAAGGAAGAGACTTGCCAATTCTGCAGGAAAGGCAATGACTTCCTTGGTACTAATTTCTAATCTCTCGTCTGGGCCTTCCTTTAGGACAGTGTCAAGCTGCCGGTCATGACCCATTTGTGAGCTGAGAAATCAGTTTAGTTTGGTAGTTATAGACCTGTGGGTCTCAAACCTGGGTGGGCATCAGAATCAGCTGGAGGGCTTGTTAAAACAGAGCTGGGCCCACACCCCGCTGGCATTGCTGATTTGGCAGGTCTGGGGCAGGGCCTGAGGCTGTGCCTCTCCAGCGCATTTGCAGGTGCTGCTGCTGCTAGCCTGGGGGCCACACTTGACAAAGCGGTGATCCAGCCCTTGGCTGCATGTTGGAGTCATCTAGGAGAGCTTTACAGATTACTGATGCCTGCACCCCACCCCCGGAGTTTCTGATTTAATTGGTCAGGGGTGTGGCCTGGACCCGGGAAGCTGTCAAAGCCCCCCAGGGGATTCTGATGTGCAGCTAAGGTCCAGGAGTCTCTGGACCAGTGAGTGAGTGAAATACAGCAGGAGACATCAGGGTACATCATTGCGGGTTGGGGAAACATGGCTTCATCAGACTTTTGTTTTAGATAATTTTGTTTGCCCTGGGCACAGTGTAAAATTTCATACTGTGGTTTGTGGTCAAAAAAGCTTTGACACCGCAGCTCCAGGGGCCCGAGGGACGTCATAGAACGGTGGTTCTGAGACCTGAGTACAGAGGAACTGTCAGGGGAACTTCTGACAGTGCAGACTGTGGGCCCCACTGCAGACCTACTGAATCGGGCTGTTGGGAGTAGAGGTCAGAAATCTTCCTTCACAAGTTCTCCAGATGGTTGTTATGTTCTTTAAGTTTGAAAACACAGTTCCAATCTAGGGAAGCCAGAATTCAGTCATAAGAGATGATGTTTTTTCCATTTATATGATGAATTTGTCATATATAACGGTAATTAACTGTTGACCGAGGGAGTGCTATCAGGATCAGCTTTTCTTTGGCCCAAGGTCCAGACAGCTCTGAGAAGGAAATTCTGCAGAGATTTTGAGCCTGTGTATGGACTAAGGAAGAAGGTCTGGGGCCTATGAGCTCCCAAGAAACTCTGCTCAGAGCTAGAGTGGGGACGGGAAGGCTCCCCCATCTTCCCCAGAGTCCCTCTGGCATACCTGGTTGTGTTCTAGGCCTTGGGGCAGCCATGGCAGGGCTCAAGTCAGGTCACATACCTTGGTCTGTGAAGGGGCACTGAAGATTTTGTGGAGGTCGCAGGACTGCTCCAGAGGTCAGTGGCAGGGCCAGGCCCCAACAACATCGCCTCTTCTTCACCTTCCTGCTGTCCTGTTGTGTGTCTGTTCTGTGTTGGGCACCGTAAGGGAGACTGATGAGCAAGACATGCTTCCTGCCACTGAGGGGCTCGCCCATGTCCGTTCTGTCAGTGGGGAGACACTTCCTGAGCATCTCCTCCAAGTCAGGCCTGCTAAGTCTTGCTTCCTGTCCTCAGGCTTCAGACAGTGGAGGCTCCAAGGCACAGCATCCCCGAGGCTCGCAGCTTCTCCGAGAGCTCCGCAGAGGAAGTTCAGGAGGGTCCTGCTAGGTCCACCCCCCCACACACACACAGCTCCTAATCTGATCCTTCACACTACTGTGGACCCCACCCTTCCTCTTGGCATCATCCTCAGAACACCTGGGAAAACATGGGGCCTGACTCCAGAGGTCCCTGCAGGCCAGGATGTGACATTGGCTAAACCTGGTAGAGCTTCCCGGAACCCAGGACCTTGTACCCTCTTTGCCTTTTTCCCAGTGGGTCTCCCTCCAGTCCCTGCACCCAGCCACGGCTCCCACCATTCCTTGCCACGTCCTGCCTTCCGGCCCACTGCCCACCAGAACACTCAGTGCATGAACACACCTTGTTCTTTCCACTGTGGCATCCTTTCACACAATCCTCTCTCAGCCGGGAAGGCCGTGTCCTCCGTTCCTCCACTGCACAAGCTCACACTCATCCTTCACGACCCTTTTCAATATCGTTTCCCCAGGCTGTTTGTCACTCTTTGCTCTCAAGTCCCATAGCATCTTGAAAAGACCTCTTCTGTAGCTGCAATAAACTTATTTCTTAAAATCAGGGTATGTGGTCTAAGAGCATGGGAACTAAATACTTGAAATGAAGACCATAAAGGAAAATTCCGGCTGTGCGATGTGCCAGAGGGACAGCACTTCTGTCCCCAGGGTATGAAGATCAGATTACCTGTGCCTGGGCCTGGTGCAGTGGCAGCACGTACGAAGTGCTCAGATGTTTACCGAATGAATGAGTGAGGGAATGAGTGCCTGTGTGTACACTGAGGGGCGGGGAGAGGATGAAGTGCCGAGGTGGGGTAGACTGCCACCCAACACCATCTGTGTCCACAGACAGCGGTAGGAGTGCAAAGGGTGACAGGGACTCCTCAGAACTGCCTGTAATCACAGCTCTGTCCAGCGTTTATCACAGAGATTCATTCATTCATTCAACAAATAGCTATTGCGTGGCGACTCTGTGCCAGCCACTGTTTTAAGTGCCAGAGACTCAACAGTGTAAAAAGTAAAATCCCTGCCCACAATCTAGTTGGCAAGGTGGACAGTGAACAAATGACTAATAAAGTGTCCGGTGGTGGTAAGCGCTGCAAAGAAGCAGCACATGAGCCTAAGAGGAACAGAGTCATGGGACGCGTGTGCGTGTGCAAAGGCCTCCCGGTAGATGTGTCCTCAGCAGGAGGCAGATGTGCCCGGAGCAGACCCAAGGTCCTTGTGGGCCATGTGGGGCCTTTCCAGGGTGAGGATTTATTTCAGGTGTGACAGGGAGGGTTCTGAGTGGGAGCGTGGCCTGGCCTGATCCTGTGACTGCTGTGAAGAGAGGACTTGGCAGGGTACAGTAAGGCGGAAGTGGGAAGCCACGTGGGAAGCCACATGGGAAGTTGTTGCAGGCTCCGTCAGGGTGAGAAGTGGTCGGATTCGGGTATGTTCTGAACGTAGCCAGTAGAGCTTTCTGTCGGGTGGGACGTGAGGTGTGAGAGAAGGGAAGAGTCAGGGATGACTCCGGAGTTAGGAGCTTAGTAATGGATGAATAGCACTGCTGTTTTCGGAGATGGGAAGATGGTGGGAGGATAAGTCGGAACCATCCCTTGGGAGGCTCGTGGTTGGCTGTGTGTATGGCAGAAGGGGTGAGAGGTCGGGTTGAGGGACAGACGGTGGCAGAGTAGGATGCTTGGTGCCGCAAAAGCACTCATGCCTGGGCAAACCTAGGGCGGGGGTGCTCCCAGACAGGGAAGGTGTTCCAGGGACTTGTTATTTGAGCAGAACTGAGTTTAAAAGGAAGGCTGGGGGTTATCAGATGGAAGAGTGTTCCATATAAAAGGAACAGCGTGAGCAAAGGGCCAGAGGCCTGATAAAGGTTATTGGGTGCTTGTTACACTCCACACACTGCTAAATGCTTTACCTGCTTCACCATCTGAATCCTCGTGGTGATCTGTAGAGACTGGGACAATTACTTTCCCCCTTTGCAGGTGAAGAAGCAGATCTGAGAGGTCAAATAATGTGCCTTAGAGACACAGCTAGTGAGCAGGGGGCAGCAGGGGTGTTACAGTACAGGACTCTATGTGGGATTTGAGCTCAGAGAGTCTGAGTTTAAAGGGAGATGTCCTGGAACTGGGAGGGAGCGGTAGGTGTTTGGGACTGGCTGGAGCATGCAGTGAGAAGGAAAAGCAGGATACCAGGCACATAGGCCAGTCACAGGCCTTGGTAGGTGACCTGTCCCCACCGTGGGGTTGATAGAGCTTGCTTATCCCTGCGCCTATGAGCCCAGTCCTCAGTGTAGCTACCCTTCCTGGTTCTGGTAACTGTGGTGACAGTGGCCAGGGTAGGGTGGCTGGAGAACCATGCAGAGGATGTGGGGACTTGGTCAGCTGGTTTGGTTGGGCTCTGGGGCCTATTTTCAGATATTTAGCCCTTTCCCAACCACAGAGCCTTTTCAGGGTCACAGCACAGCTCCAGAAGAGACTCTTCTTAAAGGTGCAGAGGTCAAGGGGCCTCCAGAGTCAGGTAGAGAACAAGGAAAAAGCAGCAGGGACCCTGCTCCACATTTATTAAATTCACTTATTAGTTGTAGTAGCTTTTCTGTAGCTTCCTTAGGATTTCTACGTATGTGATCACATTGTCTATAAACACAGTTTAAGTACTTACATTTCAATCCATATAGCTTTTGTCTGTTTTTCTTGACTTACTGCCCTGGCTGGGACCTCTAGTACACTGAGTGAATTGGTGAGAACATTCTTGCTTTGTTCCCAATTTTAGAAATTAAAATTCAGGGGCCGGCCCTGTGGCCAAGCGGTTAAGTTCGCGTGCTCTGCTTCGGCGGCCCAGGGTTTCGCTGGTTCGGATCCTGGGCGTGGACATGGCGGTGCTCATCAAGCCGTGCTGAGGCGGCATCCCACATGCCACAACTAGAAGGACCCACAACTAAAAATACACAACTATGTGCCAGGGGGCTTTGGGAGAAAAAGGAAAAATAAAATCTTTAAAAAAAAATAATGAAGTTCGTAATATGCCCTTCTTGTCCTTTTAATGTGGTAGGAGCTATAGTGATGTTTCCTCTTCGCTCCTGATATTTGTAGTTTGTGCGTTCTTTTCTTTCTTCATCATTCTAGTTTGGAGTTTATCAATTTTATCAGTCTTTTCAAAGAATCAGCATTTGGTTTAATTGATTTTACTCTGTTTTCTATTTCATTTATTTTTGCTTTATTTCCTTCCTTCTGCCTAAATTTATTCTTTTTCTACTTCGAGGTAGATTATTTTATCTTTTCTTCGACTGTAAGCATTTGAAGCTACAACATGTACCTTTAAGTACTGATTTAGCTGAGCTTACAAATATTTGTGTTTTTATTATTTAGTTAAATATATTTTCTAATTTTGCTTGTGATTTCTCCTTCAGTCGCTGGGTTATTGCCAGGTATTGGGGGATTTTCCAGATTGTTTTTTGTTATTAATTTCTCATTTAATTCTGTGTGGTCAGAGAACATACCTTTAATAATCTCAATCCTTTTAAGTTAGTTTTTATGGACCAGTCTGTGCTCTGTCTTGAATATTCTATGTGCACTTGACGGAAAACGTGTCTTGTTGCTGAGCACGGTGTTCCTTGTTAATTAAGTCAAATTGATTGATTGTATTGTTTGAATCTTCTATATCCATATTGATTTTCTCTCAAATACTGAGGGAGGAGTGTTGAAATCTCCAATTATAATTATAGATGTCCATCTCTTCTGTTAATTCTGTCAGTTTTGCTTTACGTATTTTGAAGCTCTGTAATTGGGTGCATACAAATTCAGGATGTTGATGTCTTCTTGATATGTCCCTCTTATCTCTTAAATTCCACTTTGTCTGATATTAATATGACCACTCCAGCTTTCCCATGATTGATGTTTGCATGATACATCTGTTTCTTTTTAGGTTTAGCCTGTGTTTTAATAGTCTGAGTGTGTTTATCTTCTTTAAATCCAGTTTGAAAAACTGCTTTTGAATTGGAGGGTTTAGACCACTTCTTCAAAGTAAATGCTTCCTAAAACTGAGCAGTGCCTGTGGTTTGGGAAATTCACTCTACTATGTGCTTTATATGGATTATCTCATCTAATTCTCATAACTACTGTATGAGATAAGTACAATTTCCCTACCACAGACGAGAAAAGTATGGCACAGAGAACCTGGAAGAGGCAGTGACCCTGTCACCAAACTTTGGGAAATTCACTCCTGCCTTTTGTTGGCATTCTACAGGGTGAGTTTGGTGGGGGTCACTGCCTCTTCTTCCAGGTTCTGTGCTATAGTTCTCTCATCGGTGGTAGGGAAATGGTAGCTACCTCACAGAGCGGTTGTGAGAATTAGATGAGATAATCCATACAAAGCACGTAGTGAGTACTCAATAAATGGAAGCTACAGATAGCTTTAGATCACTAGATGATAGTAATAATACATTATTAGTATTATTTCACTAAGTGCCCTCTTCCCACTTGGCTTTGATGAAGTGTTGACTTAAGCAATGAATCCCACTTTACAGTTATAAAGTGCTTTCATATGCATCCTCATCTGCTGAGCACTACTGGAGGCCTGTGGATTATAATGATTTTAGTCTTTTTTTCCTCTCTTCATTTTTCAATCATGTGTTTTCCTCTTCTAGCCAATTCTTTTTTTAAAAAAATTAAAATTTTTGTTGAACCCATCAAACTGTATACTTTAAACATGTGCATTTTATTATATGTAAATTATACCTCCATAGAACTGATTTTAAAAACTGAAAAAGCAAAACTGGAAAAATTCTGTCGCATACATCAGTGTATATAATACATATGTAAGGGTTAAGGACTAATAATAAAACCAACATCCATGTGCCCACCTACCAGCTGAAGAAATTGTACAATGACAATCCCTTTGAAGCCCCTTGCATGCCTCCCTGTTAATCATTGTTATTTTCTTCATAGCTTTGCCATACAGGTGTCCCTATGCAAGATAGTCTTCACTGCCAGTGACTTTTATTTAAATAGAATCATACTGACTGTGTGCTTCCGTGACTTACTGCTTCTGCTCATTATCTTTAAGGTTTATCTATGCTTAGATGTGTAGTGGTTATTAACTTTTGCTGCTATATGGTGTTACATTCTATAATCCTCCATCTTAGCGAGTGTATATGGGCTGCTTGCAATTTTGGGCTTTTCCAAACAATGCAGCTGTGAATATTCTTGTTCGTGCCTTTCTAAGGTAACATGCTGGGATGGAACTCTGCTGGGTTGTGAGGTATGTGCATGTTCAACTCGACTAGTTAATGCCAACTGTTTCCAAAGTGGCTTGTACTAATTTATCTTTCCGCCAGCGGGGTAAGAAAGTTCCTTTCTCCACGTCCTTGCTGACATCTACTGACACATTTTCACATTCTAACACTTCTGCCTACTTGAGTCTTTATAACAACAGCCAACACTTAATGTTCACTTAAACTGTGCCAGGCCCTGCACTGAGGGCTCTGTGTCTGATCTCATTTCATCCTCACAAGAGCCCTATTATGAATATATTGTCATTTATGACAAAGCGAGCAAGTCTTTGTCCTTCCTCTGTCCACTTCCCTTCTGTCTGGGCCCTGTGGCCATTCTCTGAGGTCACCTCATCTCTTCCTTTTCCCAACCTGGGTGGGGCTGGGTCCCAGCGGGGCCTCAAGTCTCACCTTGGACCCTTTCCTCAGGCTGTTACACCCTGTCAGTCCGCCTCAGCCGCCCTTCATCCTGGGACCGGATCAGACACTACAGGATCCACCGTCTTGACAACGGCTGGCTGTACATCTCACCACGCCTCACCTTCCCCTCACTCCAGGCCCTGGTGGACCATTACTCTGGTATGGCCTTTCCCTGCCTCCGTGAGAGTAGACTGGGATGTGGGGTCTAGGGGGCAGACAGTATGCCTTTAGGCACTTTCCCTGCTGAAGAATATCCAGACAGAAAAGGGGCCTCCCCTATCTTCATGCCTGTCCCGGTGCCAAGAAACACAGGCTGGCGGCCCTGTCTTCATCCTATGCTCTGACAGAGCCACAGACCTCCCGTGTGAGTGCACGCCAGTACCTTGCCCACCACTGTGGTTCTGAGTCAGAGTCCCCAGTGGCAGGCACAGTTCTCTCCATAGGAACTGGGCCCACAGCTGTTGCTGTTGTGGAATTCACTTGATTGTTAGCATTTTCTAATGCCTGTCCTGTAACAGGCACTAGAGGATGTAGTCACTAGGGCACAGTGTCAAAGGGGCAGAAGAGGAAAGGCTACCCCTGGGAAAACTGATGAGGGGTTTTCTGGAGAGGTGTTCCATGCAATGGATACTGATGGTACACATGGAGATTAAGTGTCCCTTAGCTTTCTTCTTCCTACGGCACTTTCTTAGCCAGAACCCGGGGCTTGAAGCAGTCCATCAACTTACCCCAAATCAAACAGTAAATTAAGTCTCCCAAAACCTAGCCCAGAATGACATTTGACTGCATCTCGGCTTCTAGGAGACCAACAGCTTGGGGATCGTGCCCTGTCACACTTTTTTGACCATGCCCCCACCTGCCAAGTGTGGGAAGCTGTCAGGGTGAGGGTGGGGGTTGTTGGGGAGGAAAGCAGGGCTGGAGTCAGCCATGTCAAGGGTCTAGGTCTCTTCCTCAGAGCTGGCGGATGACATCTGCTGCCTCCTCAAGGAGCCCTGTGCCCTGCGGAGGGCTGGCCCACTCCCTGGCAAGGCCATACCCCTACCTGTGACTGTACAGACAACGCCACTCAACTGGAAAGAACTGGACAGGTGAGTGAGGGGACCCCTGGAACACAAAGGTGGAAGAAAAAAGAGTTATAGAACGACTTGCCCCTGGGAACCCACAACCCAGAATGAGCTTGTCACCTTCAGAGACACAATGGGGGAAGTGAGCACTGACTGACTGAGCTTGCAGAGGCCAGCCCAGGCTCAGCAGGTCTGTAGGGAGGACTGGCAGGGAGGAAAAAGTGGGCATGGACATAGAGCATGCCTGTATGCCAAGATGGCCAGGAGGGAAGGAAGGTCAGAGAAGATGGGGTAGCAAAGAGAGAGCACCAGTGAGTGGAGAAGTCAAGCTGGGATTTGATCTGATAGGGAACACGAAGCCACCGTCTTTCAGCAGGAGTGACTTGAAGAAAGGTTTTGAGAAAAGTGAACTGTGTGGTGAGTGAGGAAGGAAGAGGCTCCTTGATCCAGCTCTTTTCCCCTCTCCACAGCTCCCTCCTGTTCTCTGAAGCATCTGCCACAGGGGAGGCATCTGTCCTCAGTGAGGGGCTCCGGGAGGCCCTCAGCTCCTACATCAGCCTGACCGATGACATCTCCTTGGACGATGCCAAGGCCCAAAGCAGAGGCCAAAAGGGGACCCAAGGCTGTAGCACCTAGAACCCTAACTAACTCAGCCTGAGCACCCCAGAGGCAAGTCTGTACACTGAAGGGAGGGCTGGGACACAGAGGCACATCCAGGGTCCCACCTGCATCCTCTGCTCCTTCCTCTCTCAGCCCTAAGTCACTTAACTTCCTCCCAGTGCCATGACCCTGCCTGCAAACTCCAGTTCAAATCTACACTAGTTGAGAACAGGGCCAGGACTCCAAAGAGACTGAAGCTCCCTCTGGGGTCTGAGGCAGTCAGTTCCCAAGTTTCGGATTTCCAGAACCATCTTCCTCCCCTACCTGTTGAGTCCCAGTCTACACCCCCACTGCTAACCAGCTCCACCCACAAGGCAGAAACAACCACTAGCATCAAGGAGAAAAAAAATCATTTACAGAAAATGTACAAATCTCATTCAGAATACTACCCTACCTCAGAATGTGGGACTGGCCTGGAAAGGACAGGAAAGCAGAGGGGATGGACGGCTTACCACAGCGGCAGAACCTGGGTTCTCCAGTCGCCACCTGACTCCCAAAGAGAAGGACCTCTGATAGTCCAGGTCCTCAAATGTCCCTGTCAAGCCCCTTCTCTGGACAGTCCTTGCTCTCAGATCTCTATTTCATTTTGTGGCTTACCATCTGAACCTGGCCAAGTTTTTCTGCCTACAATGGCCTTGCCATCTTGTGGCCAAATGCAAAATGACACCTCCTGACCCCAGCACATTGCAGCGAGGTCAGTCACAGCTCTTGGTGCGGGGCAGGGGCATCAGGGCATGAGAAGGTGGTAAGCCCTCTCTCACAAAGCAAGGCCACAGCCTAAACCAACTCCAGCCCTTGATTTCCCTGCGGCCCATAAAGGGGAAGCGGCCTGGCTGGAGCTGCTAAGGGAGCAAGGAGGGGAAGAAGAGGGATGGGAAGGCACCGCCTCTACGGGGTCCTGAGGCTCGAGGTGAGGTGGGAGAGGCTTTAGCAGGTATCATCAGCAGGCTGTCAATTAAAGATTTGATTTATTCAAGTATCTGAAAACATTCTACAAAGGAAACTGTTATTAGATGCTGCTTGTACTGTGCTTTGGACCACACACATATTGCCATACTGTTTTCAGAAGACTTGAAATGCCACTGATAGTTTAAAAACTGTACACCTGACGGAAGTGAGGAAGACAATTTAATGTTTCATCCGGATCCAGAGGTGCATCAAATTAAACGACAGCTCCAATCAGCAAACAGGTGTTTCATGATGGTATCCAAGAAGAAATGGTTGGTGATGAATAATCAGAAATGTTTCCCCAAAAGATGATGGTTTTTTAAAAAGTTTCAGGTCACAATCCTTGCAGAAAACACTGACACCCAACACACTGATTCTCAGTCCAGGAAACATGGGTCTTCCAGGTTCCATGCAGCTGGCGTGCCCCTACAATCATGTTTCTGTGCTGTAAGTAAGAGGGTCCTTTGGACTGGACAGGGAGCAGGTGGGGCCTGTACACCATCAGTCATAGTGGATGGCAGTGTAAAAGATGATCCAGATGACCTAGAGAGGAGACAAGCAATGTTCATAGGCCACCAGGGTCGACATAGGCCTCTATTCCACAAAACAAAAATGTCAGATAAGAATCTGTGTACACTGGGCTTCCTAGGGGCTACCCAATGCATAATTGGGGGGTGGGGGTCCTAAATTTCACTGAAGCTATCGCTAACAGAGCCCAGGACATTCACCTGTGCTCTCAAAGGGACCTGTGACAATCCTCTCCCCTGGCCAAGCACCAGGAGTGGAGTTATAGCCATGACCAACACAGCTAAAGCAGACTGTACTGCTGGGAGGTTTTAGGATTAACCACCAAGGTGAAAACAAAACCACCATCACACCCTGTCAGCTCCATAGCAAATAAAGCAGAGGTTCTCAAAACTGGCTGTCCACTGCAATCTCCTGGGACCTTTAAAAATATATAGAGATGCCCAGGCATCACCTTCCAGAGAGTTTGATTTATTTAAAAAAACAAACCACACACTGAAATATAATTAATATTCTATAAAGTTCAACCTTTTAGAGTATACAATTCACAGGTTTTTAGTATATTCACAGAGTTGTGCAAACATTACCACTAACTGATTCTGGACATTTAAATCACCCTCAAAATCTGTTCCCATTATCAGTTTTTTCCCATTTCCTCTCCCCTTCCAGCCACTGGCAACCTCTAATCTTTTGTCAGTATGAATTTGCCCATTCTGGACACTTTACATAAATCGACTCATACAATATGTGATCTTTTGTGTCTGGATTCTTTCACTTAGCATGTTTTCAAGGTTCACCCATGCTGTAGCACCTATCAGTAACCAAATAATATTTTTGGCCAAACAATATTCTACTGCATGGGGGCCGGCCTGGTGGTGCAGGGGTTAAGTGCACATGTTCCGCTTCAGCGGGCCAGGGTTCACCAGTTCGGATCCCAGGTGTGGACATGGCCCCGCTTGGCACGCCATGCTGTGGTAGGCATCCCACATATAAAGTAAAGGAAGATGGGCATGGATGTTAGCTCAGGGCCAGTCTTCCTCAGAAAAAAGAAGAGGATTGGCAGCAGTTAGCTCAGGGCTAATCTTCCTCAAAAAAAAAAAAAAAAAAAATTCTACAGCATGGATATACAATTTTTTATTTATACATCCATCAGGTGATGGTTGTTTGCACTTTTTGGCTATTATGAATAAAGTGCTATGAATATATTTTTAAATGTTTCCCAGTTGTTTCTAATATGCAGCCAGAGGTGAGAATCAGATGTAGAAGCTGAAGACGGGCCCTAAATCGGTATACCATAGGGGGACTATACCGTGTACCACACCACGTCTTTTGGGACAACATGACTTGAGAGGACATGCCCTCCAGCCTTAGCAGCCTTTTGAAAAATGGTCCCCCAATCACACAGTGTAACTCAATCACTAGGCTCCCCCTGAGTGACACCTCATGAAATGATAGTACTTGCTGTAAAGTTATCAGCTACACATACCATGAACAAGGCAAAAGATGTCATAAACCCTTCTTTTGTGAGCTCCCACGTGCCACCATACTCTTCCTCATCTATCTGTAGGTAGTTGCTGAAGTACAGGTACAGGACTCCTGCATTGATCAGGCAGAATCTGGAGTGAGAAAGGACAAGCACCAAATACAAACCGTAAGCTCAGGAGACTCAGAACGTCCTCCACCACAGTCCACCTGTCAGGACATTCAATGTTGCAGTTAACTGTTTGTATTATGGGGGCAAGTGAAGTAATACATGAAAACACCTAGGCCCTCAATGGCGCTGCCCACTTGGCTGAGCTAGAGACTTAAAGAAGAAACTCTTTAGCCAAAGCAACAAAATTAAATAAAAAAGGACCAGTACCAACATGGGCCTCCAGGTAGCTCCAGCTGGGTTGGGGGCTGGCCACAGGACAAACACATATTAAGCTGCTGCTTCATGGCCTAGTTGAGCAAGCAAGGGCATGCCAAAACAGCCCCTGCATAATTCCCAATGGGAGACAATTTCCAGATGTCCACTACTTGCTACCGCACTTGATGCAGAGGCGAACAAGACACTTCCTGCCCTCAGCTCACCATCTAGTCGTGTGTCATTTAACAAAGGGGATGCATTCTGAGAAATGCGTTGTTAGGTGATTTCATTGTTGTGCAAACATCAGAGTGTACTTACACAAACCTAGATGGTTCAGGTTACTGCACACCTAAGCCATATGGTACTAATCTTATGGGACCACCATTGTACATGCGGTCCGTCGTTATGTGGCCCATGACTCTACTGGGGGCTAACATCAGCAGTGAAGGTGGAATTGAAACCAGAGGTTTGTGAGCACCTCCAGGAAGGTCTCTGACCCCCATAATGTATTATTTAATGGATGCAGGAATTTGAATGTAGTGAGCGGTAACATCACCATGCTCTACTGTACAATCATCATGTAAAAATCATTTTCATAATGCGATCAAGACTTTATGATCTTTCCAGGTACAGCAACTCATCTAATGGGGGACTGTATGTCGTGGCCACGTCTCTTCTGAAGGCTAAGGTGAAAAAATGCAAAGAGAATGGTTTCCTCCTAATGGATAAAGTGTGGGCTGGTGTAGGGCAGGGCAGCACGATGATTCTGAGGAGTGTAAATCAGTATACAAAGGGTCCGGAGTAGACCATGAGGCTGTCTGAGCAAGGTGGGGATGAGGCAGGGTGTGCATGTTTCAGGAATTCCAGTTTGTAAGCAGTGAGAGTACCCGCTTTCTCATGGGTGGAAGGAACAGGAACTGGCAGACTGGTTTAGATCTATACCATGTTTCAGGACATGCATGCTAATAAAGTTTGAGGACAGGGACTGGGAAAATGGCAGAATGGGGAGTCAAGAGGTCCCAAAGGTTTCAAGCCTAAGGGCCAGGGAGTACAATGGTTCCAGTAACAGAAGCAGGCAGTCAGGAAGAACAGAAGGTTTTTCTTGGCTTTCACACAAAATACAGTCCTTGGCTTGGCCATGTTGTGGCCACATCCTTATCTTCTGCCAGAAATCTTGGGACCCAGCCAGTCTGGCCACCTCCCTGACAGGAGTTGATTTTGGACAGGCTGAGTTAGTGGCTCTAGACAGAGACTACTAATGGGCCTTAGAAATGTCACTCGGGGCTCTGCTGGAGAATGATGAGATTCACCGGGAGTCTCCAGCTGTAAAAGTGGATGCTTAGTAAGATGAGAGATGAAAAATAAGGGAAAGAGAAGATAAGGGACGACAGGAAGAGGAAAGGGCTGGCACAGGCCCTGCTTTCCAAGGGTTACACAGTAAGCAGAAAGTGAAGTCACAGAAACAAAGGCATTTAAATGTTTGGTGGTCAGGGAAAGGGGTCAGGAAAGGACTGGAAGGGCTCAAACTGAGCTTTAAGGGTGGGCCTAATTTCTATATTACAAACAAGGGAGAGAACTACACAGCAAATGTGTAGCCAAGGAAAGGAACATGCTGGGTTGGGGGTTAGAAAACAATATTAAAAAAACTGACTCTCAAATGGGTTTTTAAAAATTCTATCCTAAAAACTCCAGTCAGAATTTTAACAAAATAATGAATGTCTAACAAATAACTCTGACTTCAGGGCTGGAAGGCTGCCTGACTACAGTGATCTATGGCCCTGTTTCAAGGGTCAATGGGAATTCATTTCAGTGTAAAAAAAATTTTAACAAGCACTTACTGAGTACCTATTAATCATGTGCCAAGCTCTATGAGAGAGAGAGAGGCTGGAAGGACAGACAGTGCCCCTCTCTAATAATGCAAAACCTCAGCAGACAGCGCAGAACCATCACTCAGTTCTCAGGCAAACTGTAAATAATAAGACCTGAGAAAATGGTTTTACCTTAATAGGCCCCAACTGGTGGCCACACCAGAAATGAAAAGAAGCCTAGTGTGGTCGAGACAGAGGGCAGTTAAGAGAAGTGGGGAAGAGGAGGGTCACCAGAACTGAGCACCAGGAGGGTCCTGCCTAAGCCCAGGCAGCTGGGTCAGACAGACGGAGGACAGGAGATATATGTGAAAAAAATCAGTCCTTGGGCCCTTTCTAAGAGCAGAGGAGAAGGTGCCAACCAAGGAGAGAAGGGATTCGTCTGGAGTGAGAGAGGACAGTGAGGGTCTGAACCCCAGGAAACAGGCAGTCCTGGGAAAGTGGCACTATGGCCTGTGGGAGAGCCACTCCAAGGTGAGTTCACTCCCAAACACCTCATTTCCCATTTTCTCAACAGCCATGTTTAGCACTCTTCATAAAGCTAATCACATAATCATTGCAGTCAACCATTTATGGAGTGCCTATGATGTATTAAAGCACTACATTTAGCAATTCACTTGCATTATCTCATTTAATTCATACATCAATCTTATGAGGAAGGCATTTTGATTGTCCCCATTTTAATGATGAGGAAACTGAGTCTCAGAGGGGTGAGCCAAAATTATATAGCTTGAAAGTGGGAGACGGGCTGGCCCTGTGGCTGAGTGGTTATGTTCACACGCTCAGCTTCGGCGGCCCAGGGTTTTGCTGGTTCAGATCCTGGGCGCGGACATGGCACCACTCATCAGGCCACAGTGAGGTGGTGTCCCACATGACACAACTAGAAGGACCCACAACTAAAGTATACAACTATGTACTGGGGGGATTGGGGAGAAAAAGGAAAAAATAAAATCTTTAAAAAAAAAAAAGAAAGCAGCAGAGCTGAAACTTGAATCCAGACCTTTCTATAAAGCTTTCTTTAAAAAGGAAGTTCCGCTTGGGCAGCCTCACTCTCTGCCACAGTGGGAAGGGCACTAGACTAGCTCTCTAGTCCTTGCTCTACTATTCCCAGATTGGACGACTTCACACAGATCCCCGAGGAATCCTGCAAGACAACAGAGGCGCAGGAGCTCTGAACTAGTGCTGTCCTCTTCTACATAAGTGGCCTTGGGAAGGTGAGAAACTCCTTCTTGCCTTTAGATTGCCTTCCCCCTTTCTCTGGCAGTTTCTTCTTGTCTGCCTTTTCTCTCATGGAAAGCTCATGCGGGGTGACCAACATTCTAAAAATGTATCTATCTACCACCTGCAACCTGGGAAGACCTCTATGAATCCCAGGTCCTGTGTCTCAATCTCAATCAGTCCTCATCAAGTGTCCACCCTGTCAAAGTCAGGCAATGCATCAACTCTTACTGGTTTCCTTGTACAAATGCTTTGCTCAGTATCACAAATCAAAAACCTTTTTACTTAGGAGGGGTACACCCCTTTTGGGTTATCTTCTGAGAAAACAGGCAACTCAAATGAGTTTGCTATTTTACCCTTTCTACCCTAGAGTAAAGGAATAATAAGAGAAGTGATCAATCAATGTGATTTTCCATGCGTAAGGGCGACAGTTTGTATTCGTGTGGGAAAAGAGAAAAGGTCAAGGGCCTGCCTATCCATTTCCACCACAGCTTGCCCATAATTCCTGTCTGAAGACAACTGCCAAACATCCTTTTAATTCAATCTGGTGGGCGTGTGGACTCACTTTCAGTGGTGTTTTTTTTTTTTTAGGAAGATTAGCCCTGAGCTAACATCTGCTGCCAATCCTCTTCTTTTTGCTGAGGAAGACTGGCCCTGGGCTCACATCCGTGCCCATCCTCCTCTATTTTATATGTGGGACACCTGCCACAGCATGGCTTGCCAAGCGGTGCCATGCCCGCACCCAGGATCTGCACCAGTGAACCCCAGGCCACCGAAGCGGAATGTGCGCACTTAACTGCTATGCCACTGGGCTGGCCCCATGTAGCTTTTTTTTAAAGATTGGCATCTGAGCTAACATCTGTTGCCAATCTTTTTTTTTTTTTCCTTTTCTTCTTCTCCTCCCCAAAGCCCCAATACATAGTTGTATATTGTAGTTGTGGTCCTTCTGGTTGTGATATGTGGGACACCACCTCAGCATGGCCTGATGAGCGGTGCCATGTCTGTGCCCAGGATCTGAACCGGTGAAATCCCAGGCCACCAAAGCAGAGCGCGCGAACTTAACCATTCGGCCACCGGGTCAAACCCTCAGTGGCTCTTTAACCTGAGCCACAACCAGGGGCTGGTGTCAACTGTGCTGCCACTGGCCACAGGAGCACCGTAAAAGATGGAGGGCCCAAAGTCCTACTTTTTCACTACCTTTATTTTATATATCTATTTATTTATTTATTAAAGAACAGAAGCAAGCATTTATTGAGCAACTTCTTTTTTCTGTTTGTTTTTAAAGATTGGCTCTGAGCTGACGTCTGTTGCCAATCTTTCTTTTTTTCCTTCTTTTCCCCAAAGCCCCCAGTACATAGTTGTTTTGTAGTTGTAGGTCCTTTTAGTCCTACCACATGGGACGCTGCCTCAGCATGGCTTGATGAGCAGTGGTAGGTCCGCACCCAGGATCCGAACCAGCAAAACCCTGGGCCCCGGAAGCAGAGCACTTGAACTTAACCACTTGGTCACGGGGCTGGCCCCTTCACTGACTTTAAAACATAGAGGCCCGAAACAACTTCTGCTGAAGCCAAGATTTAGCATCTCCAGCATGATGCTAGGCACAGGGGAGTAGGTATCAAGTACAGGAAAGCTCCTCTACTTTACAAACTTCCATAGGTACAAACAAAGGTCACGCGAGAACTAGAGTGCCTGCCACCAACAGGCAATGTGGTACCCTGTTGTATGAGGTGACTTTGGACCCATGAATAAATGGACTGGCTCAGCCTTCAGGAAGGTAACATCTTGACCTAAGATGCTCCTGGGCTTGTTGAACTGAGGAGTGCTGCACCAGACCCAGGAGTGCCATCACGGGGCCGCTTTTTGCTTTAGTCATTACACATACACACACACAGTTATTAAAAAAAAAAACCCCTCCAAAATAGCAATGCCGTTCCATAAAAGGAAAACAAAATCTCTATTTGAAAAGAAATGATACCATGAAAATGCAGCTACCTAAGACTTACCCTGCTATTCCCAAGAAACCTCGTAATGGTAACACTCCCCAAATGACACCTAGGACCACAGCAATGATCTGTCGGAACCAGTAGATCACATCTAAAAATTCATCCTGTAGAAAGGAGAGAGCATGCATGCATTATCCAGAGTGGGTGCCACAGGAGAGCCTTTTATTTATTTATTTATTTTAAAGACTGGCACCTGAGCTGACATCTGTTGCCAACACTCTTTTTTGTTTTCTTCTTCTTCTCCCCAAAGCCCCCTGGTACACAGTTGTATATTCTAGTTGTGAGTGCCTCTGGTTGTGGCATGTGGGATGACGCTTCAGCATGGCCTGATGAGCAGTGCCATGTCCGCACCCAGGATCTGAACCAGCAAAACCCTGGGCCGCCGAAGTGGAGCTCACGAACTTAACCACTTGGCCACGGGCCGGCCCCAGAAGAGCCTTTTCTAATAGGTGAGGAACAGAAAAACTTTCTGCTAAACACATCTTCCAGCAAATTTTCCCCCAAAAGCAATGGTATGTGGTTCTTGCATCTCCACCTCTTCTTACACTAAAATGTGGTAAAAGACAATATATTTAGTTATCTTAAGTGATGTCTTTCAGGGCCTGTGCTCTAAAATTTTAGAAAAATCATTTACCCTTTTTTAGAAGTTGCAAAAATGAAATGGCTTGTGATGAAATGGCTGTGACAGTAATTGTGCTACTGGCCAATGATAACTCTTATCTGACCTGGAGAGATCTAGACAGACTATCTACAGGCAAAAGGGCTGACTGCTAACTTACTCAGCACCATCTTCCAGCACACTGGATTTTGAGTAAGCCACAAAGGAGAGAAAGAATTAGAAACAAAACTGCTAGAGGAAGGTACCAGCTTATCTAAATTTCATATGAGGATAGGAAGACTCAGGTTTCTCACCTGCCCTAGATTGCAGAAACCAGTCCTTATAGCAGAAGGAAAGAAATGACACAGCAGATCAGAAAGGTTTTACAAGAGCTGGGCAGGGCCAGGGCAGGGCTGGGGGCAGGACAAAGGCACTTTCAGGAAGTGCCACCCATTCCTCCCCTTACTGGAACTCCAGGAAGGAAAACCTACTTCACCAGGCCCCAAAAACAACGGAAAGATAGCAAATATAACATTCTTTTCAGGCTAATCAGAATCAAGCTGTTTGTGATGGTCCCTTCCAGACGATGCAGCAGTTAGACAGTGCCTGCACTCAGATCTGAATGCGTGTGACCGGTAAGGAAATCCTGAAGCCCCAACCACACGTCACACGTTTGGTGGTTTCTTCCTCTCTCCCTCACACACACTCACCCCTGCAAGGTGGTCTCAGTCTCCCCTGTTATTTAAAGTATTGTCTTTCTCATCCAACAATAAAGCACTGGCAGCTCGCCTTTAGTGCATTTGTAGACCAGCAGCGAGCGAAATGCTTTAAGGCACCACGGCACCCCACTTCAGAGGTGTTCTGAGCATTAGGCGAGACAATGCGTGGAGAGCACCTGACATCTAGGAAGTATTCAGTAGCTGTCCCTTACCGTTACAGATCGCGCTCCCAACTGCGTTAAGTAGTTAACTCGGGAAAAATAAACCACTTACTCGAGATCCTATCAGGAGTAAAAGGCGGAGTCGAATCGAATTCAGCTCACTCTCGCCGTTCGGGCACACGCCCTGCCCGCAGGTGACAACTCCTCCGCGCCCTCCTCGCTGCTTCCCGCGTGACCCAGGCGGCTTCCCCCTTGGGCCACTCCGCGGTGAGCCCCCAGCCCGGGAGCCGGGCCCGCCACATTCGCCCTAGCCCCTAGGGCCACCCGCCCCACCACCCCAAACACTGGGCCGCGCCCGGACGGGGGCAGAAGCAGGCTGGGGCCTGCCCATCCGTCCCCGAGTCCCAGCCGGCTCCTCGAACCTGCGCCCTCGCCAGGTCCCACCGCACCTTGTCCTCCCAGGCCGCGTCGCTCCGCAGCACCTTGCTCCAGACAGAGACTTTGAGGGCCCCGTTGGCCAGCTGCGGCTGAGGCGGCTCCTCTTTCCGCCGCCCGCCGCTCATCCTCCCGTCGCGCCGCCCGGGCCGGGCCTGGGGCGCGCGGGCCGAGCCAAAGGGAGTCGGGGTCTGGGGTCGCGGGTCACGGCGCGGAGGGCGGCGGCAGCGACAGGCTCAGCGGTCGGGCTCGGCGGCGCGCTGCAACTGCCGTCACTTGACCCACCCGCCCCGGTCTGTTTGCTCGGCCGAGACCAGGCGCCCAGGAGGGAGGAGCAAGGCAGTGCCGCGCGTCCCCCGCCGACGGGCCTTCGTAGCCAATCGGCGGCCGCGCAGCCGCTCGAGGGAAAGAGCGGCCGCCGCCTCGGCGCAAGCGCTCCACGCGTGACGGAAGTGACGGCAACTTCCGCCAGGCGCGCGGTAGGGTGAGAGGGAAGGGACAATCTTGGTGAGGACGGCGACGCCAGCGCGAGGAGGCGCTGTGGAGGCTGAAGAACGGCGTCTGAGGCGAAAGCGTAGGTTGGACTTGAGCGTCGCCCCGTCCGCCACAGCTTGTCCCCTTGAGCGGTGGGGCAGAACGTGACCCTTTCCTTTTCCAAACCTTGCTCCCCGGGAGCCCCAGACTGCTCCTCAGGGTTTAGCTCCTGCTCTTTCTCCCCTAACCCTACAAATTCCGTAGGATCTTGTCCAGGATATTAACTCTTTTTCTCTAATAACTTAGTGTCTCGTCTTGCCCAGCACCTTCTTTTAGCAAATGTGAAACCCTGAGACCCAAAGACTGGGAATGATTTTCTAGGGCTATATAGCGGGTTGGGACCAGCTGAGGACTCCTTAGTGGGGAAAGTGGAGAAGGCACTTCATTAGGGATCAGAATATCGGAGTATTCGTCTCTCGTGTCTTCCCTCTGTGCTAGGGCTGTAGTTTACAGGGTGCGTTTCTAGACTAGCCGCAGCCGCATCATCTGAGACCTTGAGTAGAGATGCAAATGTTAGGGCCCCATCGGAGACCTACTGAATCAGAAATTCTGGGGGTGGGGCCCATAATCGGCCTTTTAATAATTCCTCCAGGCGATGCCATGCGCAGTAAGTTGAGACCGAGGCACATCACTTCTTTGGGATTGTAGAGGGAAAGAAACTTCCTCAGAATCGCTCAGCTAGTGCTTGAGTCTGTATGACTCCAAGATCTGTACCGTTAACCTTAAGCTTTAAGGCTTAAAGAATATCATTAAGGTCAGAACATCCTTTGCATACCTGTCAACATTCACCTGTAGTTCTCTGCCTTAGCTGAGCAACGGAATCTCCTAGGGAGCTTTTTCAAAATACCAGAGCTGTTTTCCACAAGTCAGTCTCGAGATCCTGTTTCAGTAGGTTGAGTGGGGATATGCACTGCAACAGACATTCCTCTGTCTGGGTCTGGTGGGAGGGCACACTTTTAGTCCTAACTTTCACACGGTTCTTATGGATCTTGTTCTTTTCAACCCTGCCACTTTTCTCAACCAATTTCCCTCCCTCTTGCAAACTCTGGGAAAGCCTGACCAGCTCCCTCCAGTCGGGAAGTGTACCGTTGGTATGCACCCTCTTTTGCAGACTCCCTGGTGACTTGCGGCTCTGGAGAGAAGCTGATCACTCTAGCATAGAATGTTGGAAGAATACCTGGCCCACAGTCAAAGATGAAAAAGGTAAGTTTTCGGTCTGCTGGGTCTGGCAGTCAAGGTTTATAACGGGGAATATGATCTGAGGAGTTAGGGAAGACCGAGCTCTGAAGGAAGGGTAGGAATTAAGGGGAAGGGGGGGGGAAGGGGAGAGAACATTCCAGGAGATGAAACCACGCCAGCTAACGGTAAGGAATAAAGCCACAAGTTGGGGAAGGAGGGAGGGGGTCATGCTGAAGAACTTGTTTTTGCCCCAAGGATGGAGGAAGCCACAGAAAGGATTTGAGCAGGGGACACTTTTCAGGTTTGCATCTTAGCAACATCACTCCATTTGGTGCTATTTGGAGGACTAGGTCAGAGTGGGAGACTAGTTTAAAGACTGTTAAAGTTAGTCAAGTGAGATTTGATGGGGGTACTGAAGATGGAGAAAATCGGAATAAAATTGAGTTGATTATTTTTTAAAACTTAAAGAAATGTTTAAGTTGCTGTAAATATACGTAACAAAATTTACCATTTTTAAGTGTGTAGTTCAGTGGCACAGTGATGTGCATTAGCTTCGTTGTGTAGCTGTCACCACCATCCATTTTCAGAACCTTTCATCTTGCAAAACTGAAACGCTCTACCCATTAAACTATTAATTCCCCATTCTCCGCTCCCCCCAGCTGCTGGCAACTGCCATTCTACTTTCAGTCTCTGAATTTGACCAAGTACCTCATGAAAATGGAATCACACAGTATTTTTTGTTTTCTGATTGGCTTATTTCACTTAGCATACCGTCTTCAAGATTTCATTCATGTTGTAGCACGTGTCAGAATTTCCTTCCTTTTTAAGGCTGAATAATAAGTTCATTAAATGTCCATTGTATGTATAAACTGCATTTTGTTTACCCATTCGTCTATTGAGGGACACTTGGGCTGCTTCCACCATTTTGCTATTGTGAATAATGCTACTATGAACATGGGTCTACGATTATCTGTTCGCGTCCCTGCTTTCAGTTCGTTTGGGTATATACTCAGAGTGGAATTGCTGAATCGTATGCTAATTCTAGTTTTAATTTTTTGAGGAGCAGCCATAGCAGCTGCGCCGTTTTGCATCCCTACTAACAGTACACAAGAGTTTCAGATTCTCCACATCCTTCTCAACAGTTGTTTTCTGTTTTTTTGATAAAAGCCAACCTAATGGGTGTAAAATGGTATCTTACTGTGGTTTTGATTTGCATTTCCCTAGTGATTAGTAGTGTTTAGCTTCTTCTCATGTGCTTGTTGGCCATTTGTATATCTTCTTTGGAGAAATGTCTATTTCAGACCTTTACCCATTTTTGAGTCTGGTCATTTAGTTTTCTTTTTCTTCTTCTCCCGAAAGCCCCCCAGTACATAGTTGTATATTCTAGTTGTGGGTCCTTCTAGTTCTGCCATGTGGGACACCGCCTCAGCCTGGCTTGGTGAGCGGTGCTAGGTCTGTGCCCAGGATCCAAACCAGTGAAACTCTGGGCCACCAAAGCTGAGCGTGCAAATTTAACCACTCGGCCATGGGGCCATCCCTTGGTCATTTAGTTTTTGTTGTTGAGTTTTAGGAGCTCTGTATGTATTCTGGATATTAACCCCTTGTCATATATGTAATTTGCACATATTTTCTCCCATTCTGTGAGTTGTCTTTTTATTCTGTTGATAGTGTCCTGTAATACACAAAAGTTTTAAAATTTTGATGAAGTCCAGTTTGTTTAATTTTTTGTTGTTGTTGCATGTGCCTTTGGTGTCATATCCAAGAAATCATTGCCAAATCTAATGTCATCAAGCTTTTCCCCTGTTTTCTTTTAAGAGTTTTATAGTTTTAGGGGCTGGCCCCGTGGCCGAGTGGTTAAGTTCGCGCACTCTGCTGCAGGCGGCCCAGTGTTTCGTTAGTTTGAATCCTGGGCGCAGACATGGCACTGCTTGTCAGACCACGCTGAGGCAGCGTCCCACATGCCACAACTAGAAGAACCCACAACGAAGAACACACAACTGTGTACCGGGGGGGCTTTGGGGAGAAAAAGGAAAAAATAAAATCTTAAAAAAAAAAATTAAAAAAAAAAAAAAAGAGTTTTATAGTTTTAACTCTTATGTTTAGGTCTTTGATCCATTTTGAGTTAATTTTTTTATATGGTGTTGGGTAAGGGTGCAACTTCATTCTTTTACATGTGGATATCCAGTTTTCCCAGCACCATTTGTTAAGACAACTGTCCTTTTGCCATTGAATAGTCTTGGCACCCTTCTTGAAAATCATTTGGCCATGTATGCAAGGGTTTATTTCAGGGCTGTCTATTCTATTCCATTGGTCTATTTGTCTGTCTTTATGCCAATACCACAGTGTTTTGATTATTAGCTTTCTAGTAAGTTTTTTTTTTTTTTTAGGAAGATCAGTCCTGAGCTAACATCTGCTGCCAATCCTCCTCTTTTTGCTGAGGAAGACTGGCCCTGAGCTAACATCCGTGCCCATCTTCCTCTACTTTATATGTGGGACGCCTGCCGCAGCATGGCCTGATGAGCGGTGCCATGTCAGCACCCGGGATCCAAACTGGTGGACCCCAGGCCACCAAAGCAGAACGTGCGCACTTAACTGCTGCGCCACCGGGCCGGCCCCTGTAGTAAGTTTTGGAATCAGGAAAAGTGAGTCTTTCAGCTTTGTTCTTCTTTTACAAGATTGTTTTGTTTATTGGGGGGTCCCTTAAGATTCCATATTGTTGCTGGCACGTTAAGTTTTTATTGTCCCCCAAGATGGAAATCAAAAGAGACAATAAACAGGAGTAGAAAAGTAAAAGTTTATTAGCTTGTGCACAGGAGAGGCACAAGGAAGCCTGTGTGGAAAGGAATAGTGCAGGTGACTGGCTCTTCAGGGAGCAGGATTGTGGAGCTTTTGTTAGGCAAAGGCTGGGGAGGAGGGCCTTGTCAGGGCATGTAGAGGTGGGGTTGTGCTTGCGCTTGCGCTGTTGTTCAACATGCCACCACATGCATTGCATGTATCATTAGCATGCTAGCTCTCCACCCCTGGGTGTGATTTTTAGTATGATAATGGGGCTAAGGTCACCTTCAGTGGACTCCTGGGTGCTAGGGTGCATGCGTAAGCGAAGGAGAGTCCAGAGGCTGTGGAATGTGGAACTTGGTGGTCTCTATCTGATTCTCCTAGCTTGCGGATTGGTTAGGGGCCTTACCTTGTTAGGCCGGGGGCCTTGCAGATGGCCCTGTCTCATTAGGCTGGTTCCTGTCTCATTCCCTCCTGAGAGATTTTATCCTCCTTTACCTTAAGGATCACAGATAAAGGTGTCTTCTTCTGAAGCTACTTCCTGCTGAAAGAGGGTGTTGAGAAGGAGGCCCTACATCCAGGAGGAGTAAAAGTCTTTTTCAGCTTGTTGTAGGGTTCAGTAGGAATGAGAATGAGGACCAAGTGGGTCAGCCATTGGAAATGGCTGGAATCCTTACGTGACCATCATTTTAATGTGGAATTGTTGGAGCCTAGAGGACACACACTAGACAAGAAGGTTAAAAAGACAGGGGCCAAAAATTAATAGGCGTAGGGTGATTACCCAGGGGTCCCAAAAAGGGAGGGAACCTGGTGAGGGATGAGATGGCACCTTTGATCAGTGACCATGCCCAATTGGGGTCTGTTCCTTGGTTATATCGGTGAAGCCAGGATGCCTTGTTCATAGATTTCCTGGATGTTGGTCTCGACCTTTCATGAGTTATTAACATAAGTCATTTTTAGAGAGACAAAAAGAAAAACAAGGTTAATGGTGGGAGAAAATTATAAACCAGTTTCTGAGCCCAGGGAGCAGCCAGCCAAAAAGATTTTTAGGTGTCAGAGTCGAAGCTTCTTTTGCAGTTTGAAATGCCTCTGGTGATGTCATTGGGTGTTCATCTATCTTTCTGAGTGGCTTACACAGCAACAGACATGAATCTCCCTTAAGTTTATATCAAGTTGTCAAACTTTAGTCTGCAGGACTTCAGGAAAAGAGCAGGTTCAGTTCTCACTGATTCCAAATGAAAATGATGGGGAAAAAAGTGGAAAACATTAGTTTGAAGATTTGTAGCCAGATATTTCAGGAGACTAGAAGAATTCAGGATCTGGTCCAGTTTACAGACAGAAAACGAAAACCTCAAAGATAATTATCAGAACTAGAACTTAATATTCATGAATATGTACTATAGTTTCTATTGAAGCATAATTTTTCTCTCTAAAGTCACCCTCATTTTTACCAAAGATAGCCAATTAAGACTCAGTGGAGGGGCTAGCCCAGTGGTGCAATGGTTAAGTTCGCACGTTCCACTTCTCGGTGGCCTGGGGTTCACTGGTTCAGATCCTGGGTGCAGACATGGCATTGCTTGGCACGCCATGCCGGGGTAGGTGTCCCACATATAAAGTGGAGGAAGATGGGCATGGATGTTAGCTCAGGGCCAGGCTTCCTCAGCAAAAAGAGGAGGACTGGCAGTAGTTAGCTCAGGGCTAATCTTCCTCAAAAAAAAAAAAAAGACTCAGTGGTTTGTAAAATGTCTAGTTTCAATAAACTTGGCCCAATTATCTGCATAAATACAACAAGAACAGAAGTTGATTATACAGGTGGTTTCAAATCTGCTTTGCTGGAACTTTTTATAAGAAATCTCAGATTGAACTTTATTTTTTATTTTATTTATTTTTTTTTTGAGGAAGATTAGCCCTGAGCTAACATCTGCTGCCAATCCCCCTCTTTTTGCTTGGAAGACTGGCCCTGAGCTCACATCCATGCCCATCTTCCTCCACTTTATATGTGGGACGACTACCACAGCATGGCTTGCCAAGTGGCGCCATGTCTGCACCCGCGATCCGAACCGGTGAACCCCGGGCCACTGAAGCGGAATGTGTGCACTTAATCGCTGTGCCACCAGGCTGGCCCCTCACATTGAACTTTAAAGACCTCTTGAGGCCAGGAAAGCCAAGCCAAGGACTTGTCATCAGATTTCACCTCTAATACCTACAGATTTGGGTGGATTCCTCTCTTCTTGAGGTCCCCCAAAATA